ATATATATTTTTAAATGCTTAACGTTACGAGTCTGCTTGCTAAGTGTACGAATCACTTGTTTGAAATATTCTGCCTGCAACAGAACAGCCCCATTCAACCCCCTTTGCTGCACATGGCTGTTTTCACCGCGTTCCCTCTCAGCCTGGTGGGCATGTTGGCTGTCGAGCGCAAGGTAGGTGGTATAGCATGTTTATACATTTTTATTTAAAGCTTTCATGACTGCAGGGATTCATATTCTTGGTTGTTTCGGTAAAGTCACGTAAAAGGGAAATAAGATTGTTTTTTTTAATTATTATTAATTTTATTTAATTTTTCCCTTCTACGTGACTTCACCGAAAGAACCAAGAATATGTTTATTAATGTTCTAAGTTAGATAATTATTTATTATTACATTTGATACTCATGACAAAGCCTTCACCGAAATCGTGGTACCACAATATAACATTCCAGATGTTATTCTGTGCAGATCTTTGAGAACAACATCTCGGATGCCACAGTCTCCCAGGGATTCCTGATAACGATGCACAGTGACGGTCACGTCAAGCTTTTTAACTTGGAAGAGATTGTCAAAAAGGTACGTATTTACTCTATCTAATTCACCACTACAGGTTTAACAAACTGATGCAGGGTTGTTGGTAAAAAATAGTTTGTGGTAAAATGTTTTAAACTTTGTTTGAATTTACAGTTTTACTTGCAAATATGATATTAACTTTGAATTATGAATTTGTGTAATATTCATTCATAACAAAGTAACTGTGTGCCAGTATTTCTTTGCCGCATTTCTACTTGGTGTGAGTGAATTAAATGTGTATTAATACCAACTATTAAGATACCTTCCTTTCCCTCCCCTGCATCAGTACCGTGTGAAAGATCTGTCTCTGGGACAGGCGTGTGAGTGGAACAAGACTTGTGGTGTGGTTGGAGCCAAGCCCTTCGGCATTCCATGCAACATTGACAGTTAAAGGTATCCATATAAAAGTTATAAGCAGAATACTGGCATACTGCTTGTAAAACAAATACAGTAATAACTTAATTTAAACAATTACAAAAATGTACAGTGCATTATCTTTCTGTTGTCTTAACAGAAAAAGAGATTCCCATGCTTTATAAAACAAAGATATATAATTATCACACATTAGGGGCCGTCCATAAATGACGTCACGCACCTAGGGGGGGGGGGGGTCAGACATTTGTGACGATGTGTGACGAGGGGGGGGGGGGTTGAGAAATGTGACGTCACATCAAAATGCGCAGCTTTAAATAAATATAGACAACACGATTCTACTTAATTAAATAGACTTTTTAATAAATGTTTTCTCCTACAACATCAGAGTTTAGCGCCACATTAAATACGCACGATAATGACAATAGTTTAAAGCGATTTGAAGCATGTTTTATTTGGGGGGGGGGGGTAGAGCTTTGTGACGTCATATTTGAGGGGGGGTCTGACTTTTTGTGACGTCATGTGACGAGGGGGGGGGGGGTCAAAAATCGTCCAAAATCGAGTGACGTCATTTATGGACGGCCTCTTATTGAAACGTTTAAATTAAAAGGATAAAATCGAATTGTTCAATTATTGCTAACCATGTTTAACTGGATGAGAATGAATTGCGTACCTTAATTGCAGAAATGTTTTTCTTTTTGTGAAGAATGATAATAACATTTAACAAATGCAATATATTTTGTGCTTGCATGTGATTTTTTTTACAACTAGAACGCCTAAGGCCATAAAGCTGGTGCTTCTCATACCCGTTTTACAATTAACGCATGTGTGTGGGTTATTGATGGACATTTGCGTGAGTCTGCCTTGCTGATGCTCACCCTGTGAATGCAGCTTGCCCGACCGTGCTGTTTACTGTAAAGTGCCTGGAGAACCAGCTACACATAGGAGGCTTCCCGTGGCACTACATCATCTCACTCAACCAACGCAAACAGAAAGGGAAATTCCGAGTATTTTCGCTGGCAAACGAGAGCCCAGTATGTCCACACATTGCACCATTTCTCACCATTGCCTTGCATGCACAGGGCTGTATTTATCATGCATTGTGTATGAATATTATTTATTTGAAAGCAACTGTAAATCTACTGACCAATCCTAAGCATCACTGCCGTTGGAAAATATTTCATCGTAATTTGGATAGGAAGCAAATTACTTGCGTCTTTGTCGCAATGCACATTTGCAACGGTCGAATACAATTGCACAGCCGTTCATTTCCAAGTGTTTCATTAACAAATACTTTGCAAGTATCACATTGCGTTATTTTTAAGTTAAATATTAATGTTTTGTAAAAACATGTTTAAAATCTCATGTCTTGCCGATTGCTCTCACGCAATAATATTGGCTTGGCAGAAGGCTATTACCAAACACAACGGTGTACTTAATTAACATGAGTGCAGGAGTGTTTTTTGCTGTGCGCATTTGCTGGTCCATAAATGTACGTATGGGCCAATGGAGTCGGCCCACTGCAGTGAAGGTGACAATTGATGTACTCTATACAAATCCATAACAAAGTGCCACTTAACTCGCAGTGATACTTGGTGGTGGGCCAAGCAAGACCATTGCGAGGGAGAAAGAGATGCATGGTCATGGTGCCGTCTCCACATTCATCTTTGTTGTACTGGCATCAATGCTTTCTGACAGCACTTGCACCATCGATTTCACAGGGCATTGTGGGTCTGTGTGTGCCCATGATTGCGTGTTACAGTCACTGAACAGTGTGCTGGACATGCAGAGTGTTGCCCTGGAATCAGACTGGATACTTTTTCATCCAGACGACTCTGGGCGAATCCTGCACGTAGGACCCCGGCAGATCGAGTAACCACCGCACACACTTGACGATATAAACACGCATGCCGCGACGCATTGGATTTCCAAATCAAAGCTGACATTTTTGAAAAATGATCACAGAGCACATTTATAAGAAATCGTTTTTAAATAAATGAAATGAGAATGGGTGGGCTTGTGTACAGTGTGCTGTGCATCAAGACGAATGAGCTGCCGCAGGGACCGTGTCACCGGATCGAGAAACAGTTCACCATTGACACCAAAGAAGACGATCAGGTACCATTGGATGCACGTGGCACCAATTCACAAACAAGTCAAAGTGTTTCCCTGCTCAAACCAGCATTTGGCTGTGCTCATCTCCTTGAGCGAGTGGTGGGTATTCCACGTGCTTATGGCGAAAACTAGTAAATCCAAAGGATGGGCACGATTGACTTTCCACCAAGTGATCCAAATTTTATGCATCTCACAAGGATGTTGTTTAAGTCAACTTGCCAAGTGTAATAATGCATTCAAACAAGTAATGTTCTTGTGTGCAGAAGTTACGAGACATTCCTCAATTTTTTGCTGTATTTTAGTGAATTTTAATGCAATCAAAATTATTTCCCTATCGCTAGCAGGTATTGTAATGCGTTGCGTAACATGCATTTTATATTTACAGCAGTCTGCGCTGTATTCTATTATATGTGAAAATATCCAATAGACTACTGCCTGGAAAAATGCCCTTACAAGCTTAAATTTCATAAGTATGCGGTGCAAAGATTAAATGTAATAATAGGCCCTGCCACCTCATGCTGCAGTCCTCCTCTGCCGAGTGACCTCTCGTCCTTGAATGTTTGATTAACAATGGCACCGTTCTGTGCCTGCGCTCCCAGAACGAACCTGAAGTTTTCGTCACGTCGTCAGGTCGAGTTGTGAAGAAACGCTTCCTGCGGTTTGATGACGATCCAGAAAGAGAGGTCACACTGGCTTTGCATCAACACATCGTACACTTCTTCTGAAGGCAAAGCAATGCTGAGAGTGCAGTGTAGTATATATATTTAAAAAATCTTGGTAAAGTCAAATGCCACGGTGGAGTTGATTTTCCTAACTCTTGTCAAAAATATGTTAGCGACACATGAAGTACCGAGGTTATGCTTTGCATCATAATCTAAGAAGTGAAATTTGCGTGCATTTTTCACTGAAAAATGTTGCCGTTGGAAAGCTGTATAAATATTTTTTGTCCAAGTAAAAATCCAAAACTACAAATAATTGTTGATTCACATGATTTGTAGATTATAATAAATGAATCGGTTCGATGGTCGTTTTTTGCACAAATACCAATGAGAAACTCTCATTGCAAACGTTTCAGACAGTCCACGTGGTAGACCACAGGGAGGAGGTGGATCTGCTGGTGGTGACATGCGTGAGACCCGGCGACGCTGGAAGCATGGTAACCGTCAAGTTCCATGATAACTACAACGGGCGGCTCATCAAAAGTGTACCACTGAGCGAGCCCTGGGATGTGGTGAGGCCACGTGTTGATACCGTCGGCCTTCTGTGCTACCTACCAACACATCCTGACTAGTGAATGGGGGGCCAGCCAATCAACAAAACACCTGCCTTTGTCCTACAACAAAAATATTGTTGACCCATCTGCACGTTTTCGAGCGCCATCCCCTTAACGTTTTTTTCCCCTTTGAACACTGGTTTACTTACGGAAGGAATAACAAGAGGCCACACATCTTAACTTGGCCCTCTGAACTTTCAAACTCGTTTGAGGCTTTTATGCGTAATACATACAGTTTGAAATATTTGTTTCTCTTCAGTATTATAGTATTGTGGAGCTAGGCAGTGTTGTACTGTATTTGCAACATGTAATAAGAACTATTAACAGACGTTTAAAGTCTCACCATTGACTAACATTCTTAATCTGGCCTGCCTTTCACAGACATACGACCAGTCACTCTGCCTACATGCGGACACCATTGTGCAAATCACGCAGAACCACAACCGCTCCTACTCTTGCCATGTCCACAAGATGTTCAACACTGAGGTATTGGAGGAGGAGGAGAGGGAAAGGAAGGAGAGGGAAGGAAGGAAAAGGAAGAAGAGCACCAGAGAAAGGAAGGAACCAAGACCATAAGCACTGCTATGGAACACTTCTGCGGCTTTCGTGTGTGCCCTCTAATTTGTTTTACGGAATTAAAGGCAATGAAATTCAACAATGCGACCAAATTACGATCGTGTTTTTTTACTTGTAAAGCGTAACATTGGAAAATGCAAACGGAAAAGAAATTACACCCGCGTTTGGTTCAAATTCTCATCTTGGTGGCATTCGTTGGCAACTATCACAAATAACAGTCAATTGCCAACTTAGTGAATCTTCTTTTCCGGCAGAAAAATAACAAGCAATGGCATTTACTTTTGCATAATAAGTTAAGTGCCAGTAAGGTACCACCTTGATGCGAGTCAGAACCACCATTTATTAACACAGATGGATTGTAAATATGTTGTATTGAGCAGCAATTTTTATGCTCTTAGGTATTTGATATACTGGAAAGTGGCATGAAAATTGCACTGGATATTTAAAATTGTCAAATTCAAACAAAAAAAGTCAAAGAATAAAGTTGAAAAGTAATTTTGGCATTCCTTTACTCTGTTATCATTAATTATGCTCTTTTAATTTTAAAGAGATGCCAATGATATGTTAAGTGCCATAACAGTTTGCTTTCTTACACGTGAAATAACCAGCCTAGGGAAACCATTTGTGTTCCATTAAAATAAAGCAGGCACGTGACTCTCAGCATTGGCCATGGTACAGTACATTATTTACAATTTTCTGTACAGAACACATTTAATATATACTGTATATTTTTAAAAATACTAATTTAAAAAGTCAGTATCTTTTGTACATTTGTCATTCGTTTGTTAACAACCCAAACCATACCCAACTCTGCAAACAGCCTAAATCAAATATTATTCATCACAATCACCCACCACCTTACTGTAAACACGATAAAATAACATTAAAACAACACCCAGAAAATAATGTTATCACCATCTCGAAAAAACCGAAACGGACAAAAAAAGTCTTCTTGTCCTCCAGCTTGGACTCAAGTTAGATTGGTTTGCACTGCTCTCATCTAATCAACAAAACGAATGTACAAGTTGCAACTCCACAAATTAAACAAGTGTCATTCACAATTACTCTCATACCTCAATATTCTTGCATGATTTACATAGTTCATTGCTATCATTTAAAAAAAGTTGTTCATCAAATGCAGTTTTTTCCACTTTTGAGATGTTTCATTAGAAATAGCATAAGTAAACACTACTACACATTATTTTTAGTTGGTAATTGACCCAGAGAGTGTGACGGTGTCCCAAGTAAGACAGACATTTGTATCAAGTGATGCAGAGTTACGTGAAAGAATTATTATTGCTTGGTGGTAGAGTTAACAGGAGGGGAAAGCTAAGACGAGAGGTCTGCATTCGGTTCCCAACGTCTTCACAATTCCCGTTGGGGACAACAAACGCTCATCGGTGTCCCACACACACACACACACGTGCCCGCAAAGGCAGGAGTCCCCTCCCCGGGCAGTGCACATTACAGGGAGGTGAAAGCGCAGGAGTTCGTTCCCCTTGCGCCTCATTCTGCGTTTGCCACTGGCTTGGCCAATGCTCCTTAGATGAACTCCCACTGCTGGTGCTCGTCCATGTGGTCGCAAGGTGCCATCGTCGGGTTTTCCCCTTTGGACGTGAGACACTGCTGCGTCCCCACGTTGAAAAACAGCTTCTCCTGTTGACAAGACGCGAGCGAAGGCTTTACAAACTTTTTGGGGCAAATGTTAGCAAGCACCGAACATGGCCATTAGCACATGGCGGTGTGATTAGCCGCAAACTGGGCCACCGTTGTATCCACAGTGTTGAGGTTGATCACTGAATTGGATACTCATTTTAGGCAGGCATAAATTGGGACTGTCTGGCATGCAATTCTTCTGCGTAGCATGGAGAAGCAGCAAACATGTTGGCATAGCTTTGCAAGCATTTAAATGTTGAAGTTTATCGTTGATGCAAAAAAATCTAATTCAAATTTTCATTACAATTTCAGGGGTACCCCAAACTGCCTATTAAGATCAGCAGAGGGTATATCCGCTCGCGTTATTTCAAGGCCCCGCTGTATTCAGAAACCACAGACCCACGCCCTGCTCCTTTAACCCTCTCTACATGAAGAAGGCGAGCGTACCGGGCGTAGCTCCCAGAGCTCGTAGGTGTTAGGCAATGAGGTGCCTCCCTTGTACTTGCAATCCTCCAAATGCATGGCTCCCATGGCCGCGTGCAGGCACATCTCCTTGGCCACGTTATGTCTCAGCTCCTTCTGTGATGAGTACTCAAAGTACTGCAAGCAGAAATCGCGACAGCCCACACGGCAGTTATTGTATTGAAGATGAATCTGTTATAACCATATAGCCCTCCGATGCGTCATTAGGTTGCACTGCGTGTTGTGCAGGAACAGTTTTTGGATAAGCTCCCGGGGCACTGAGCGAAACGTCAGACACTATGCCGAACACCACGCGGTACAATCCCAAAACAGGAGAGCTACATAGCACAACAGCGAACACATACTCAGCAGTATTACTCCAAGTTATTATTTTGTCAAATTTGCATCTTTAATCCAATTTGTCCTTCAGAAAGGCACAATCCAGATTGAGGAAGATATCCCTCTCATTCATGCAAGGGTTTGTAAGTTATAGATTCATGAGCAAGTAAGTCTAATAATTATTTTATGTCTTGTAATTTTTATGAAGCACAAGAAATAAAATAAATAGGAAAAATCAACAAGTCATCGACTACCACCCCTTGACTGTTACCCCTTTCTAAATTGTCAGTTATAAATAAATAACTTAGGTCAGGATGTACTTTGAGTGCGTTTAAGTATGTCATCTTGCATGAATGTGCCAGTCAAGCTTCAATTTTAATTCATAAAACGTTTGTCTCTATATTTGAAATGTGTTTTTTGCATATTAAGTGGTACATGGACACGTACGCAAAATATGGCAGTACTGTAATAAAATAAGCCTTTCGCATGCAGAAATGTTCAGTGTAATTATGTAGGCACTCACCTGATTTCCACCCATGCCATGACAGGGGTACAAAATCAGAGGCTTTCCAACCTCGTTCTGGAAACTACCCGTGTCCAGACAGTTGCCCTTTGCTTTATTCTTAATCTGCAAACAGCAGGAAATGCATTAGTCACTGGGGTATGTGGCTGCCTTGACAGTAGGTGGCGACCTCTTTCTCTTGAGAGGTCAGGAGCCATTGCCGTCATGTCCACTCTCGAGATACTATAATGTGCGCCTATGCCGTGCCTTGACTTGCAAGGCCAGAGCCTCAGCGTCAACACAGCCCAGCGGTGGCCAATAGGTGGATCGTGATCCACGAGTGGATCGCAAACGACTGTATGGATATCTGGACAAACCAGAACAAACGTGAACATAAGCACATAACAATTTTCGTTATGGCTCATGGCAAATAAAATTTCTCTCAGAATTCATACATTAAAAAAAATTCCAATGGATGGCTTTTGTACTTTGTCTATATTTTACAAAGGCAATTGTTGGTAATAGCTTTATAGCAAGAAATTCGCAGAGCCCGTTGAGATCCACCCAAAGGGATACTGTGTTTGTTGCATTGGCTACTGCGGTCATCGACCAACGACGGTCAAGACAGCAGAGCACTCATCTGCATGCTTAGCTCTGCATGTGCTTCCAGACAAATACAACCTCAGTGTGGGAACAGATGAGGTTGAGGGGTTTAAACCACACAAACAAAACTCACTCGGTCACAAGCTTGTGCATAATTCAAGCAACATATCACAAACAGATACAAGAGAAACTTGTTGAAATATATTGGGAGTGGTGTACAAGCAGAGACTAAAAACACTTCACCATCGCTAACCCTGAAGAAAGGCCATTTCCAGAAATGTTAGCCCACGACAGTAAAAGGCAGCATTGTAAAGACTATTGATTACAATGGTTGCAAGGCAATTTCAGTTTAAAGTATTTAACTTAGTTTTTTTCCACAAAAAGGAGGATAATTTGACCAATTCAACTTTGGTGTCAAGTTCAACTGTGGATGCAACATTTACATTGTCACTAGGCAATTACTTTAACAGAAAACCTGATCACTGCTGAATGTGATTATGCTGCAAATTAAAAAAAAACCTGTTGCCCTTCGGTTGTTAATAATGGATGAGGATTGCAGCCCTTGATTGTTTGTGTGGAATGTGCGTAATGCTTTTAATGAACTCCCTAGTATAATTATGATGAAATATTCCAGTGCACAAACCTGCTTGCCATGATACAGTTGGCATCATTTCACGGTCTACGGGTTACGCAAATGCCCAAAATAAACGACGCATAACACGCCGAGCATCGAGCATCAACGATCTGTGTATTTGTCGTGTGAGAATGTGGCGGGAGATCTTTTTGAAGCTGCGTCGTCAGTGGGAACTCACCGCCCCAAAGACATTTGGATGGAGGTCGGGCACAAACATCTCCGGATAGACGTTGGTGAGGTACCAGGTGAAGTTCTTGCACTGCAGCTTGTCTCGAAGCCTCTTTCTCCACGTCAGATCGCCGTAGGCTTTCTACCACAAACGAACAAATTATAGAGGAGGCTCCAAAAGGAATACGGCAACACCTAATCATTCCCAATCGCCGTTTTTTTTACTTTTGTTGATTTTTTTTTACCTTCCTCCAAAACGTTATGGAATTTTCTTTCCCCTAACTCAGGTTCCATATGGAATAGGAGAGATAAACCTGGTGAAATAATGAATGACAATGATCTGTCGCTGCAGTCCAATTACATTACAATGTTAATGTATACATTAATCGCTACGGTATGACAATGCTTGTCTATTTCATGCCATTAATAGTGGACAATGATGTGAAAGGATTGCATTGGTTAATACACGAGATACTTTGGTACTGAAATGCAAAGCAGATGCTCTGTCCGTCTCGTGGCACCATTTAGCTACCAAGTTTTCTTTTTGCACTGTAAAGAATTTGCTCACACATTCATTTAGGTGGATTAAGGTTTAGGATTGGCATCAACAAGCAAAATGTGTGCCTGGACTTCATCTTGGACTTGTCAAACACTCTGTTCATGAGATTACGAGTACATGGTCGTCGGTAAAGTGGGCAGGATTGTTGACATAACCAGAGGATAAAAAACGAGTGGATGGCGTTAAAGAAGGCAGCTGGAAATCGATGGGGGTGGGGGGCAAGGAGTGATTACAGAACCTGTTCAAACAACAAGGGATCAACAATAGTCACCGCAGCCACGGGGACCATCAACTCTCGTCAGCTACACGGCGCCGCCACGTCACCATTTGGCGACATGAATCCGGGAGGACGGACTTCAGGGATCAATTCACACCGTGAACCCAGAGCCACACAGACAAATATCCCCCATATAGCCTGAACGGACTGTTGGAGCAATTGCTGTTAGCGAGCACCTATGAAGGGCCGGCACGGCACACGAGGGGGTGGATGGCCAACACCACGCCTGGCCGCCTTTGTCTCCCGAGTGGTGATGTTTAAACACTGCACTAGGTACTCATTTGAGGCTGAGTCGACCCAGAGCCTCACGCTCAGACGCACAAACTTGTGCAAGCTCTAAGACACAGACAAAAGACAGGCACACACAAAATCACATATGCAACTACACCACGCACTTACAAAACATTTCTGCTTTCAGCATAAACATCATGGAATGTTCCTTAATGCAAATTTATATTCCTGTACCGAGCGCCGCAGCTAGATATTTTGGTCCCCGGGGCAAGGTGACACCCTTGCACCCCCCCCCCCCATGCCAGTTGTTGGTGGGGGAGGGTTCCATCAAACACCTGAGCCACTGCTCGATTTTTTTTCTCACAAATTCAACTGCCCATGCAAGCAGTGCCGGTCACTGGAGGGGTGGACCTGCATTGGCTGCCTCACCCACAACCACCCTTGCGATGGCACTGCCTCTACTCGTAATCTCATCCTCACCCACCGTCTGCGTACCTCCACGCCAACCAACCCAAAGCTTAGGTCCACTAAACAAGAGACAAAGTAATACAATCTGTGTAGCGTTAAAGGCAGCATGTTCTCCGATACTGTTTCGCAAATAATATACTGCATTTGCTTTTACACAATTATTACATTCACAGGGAATTCATCATCACCGATGCTGGATCAAAGCCTCCTCATTCTGGATGACGGTCTGCATTTGCCATCAGCACGCCATTCAATCCCGCGATGCCACACTCCAGTTCACTCCTGCGCAGGAGATTATCCGATCGCTCCTATTTCCATGGTATTTGTGCTCTCCCATGTGTTTTCTCTTTTGGCTGTTTATCAACCATCTCTAATAACGTGTGTGCCCAAGCTATAACCTATTTTCCTTATTAATCAATATGAGTTCTCTAGTTTTGTGTTTGTTCCCCAACCCTCTTTTCTGCCTCTCATTATAATTCCAACTGGATTCGTTTTTCATAAAGAAGTCGATAAAACAGAGGAGCACAAATGGGGAGATGAACAATTAAACATAATTTATTCTCACAGACGAATGCCAGATTGTCAAAGGCGTCATTGTCCACAGCGAACTCAACGCAGGAATGATTGCAGGCCGTGCCATGCAAGCTATCTCGTCAACATTCCCAAAGCAAGGACAAAGCTGATTATAGTAAAAAGAGACAAGACAGCTAATATTAAAATCTAGTTGTGGAGGTAGGTGGATTTACACTGATTTTAAGCAACATATTCCAATACTGAGAGAAGCAAAAAGAGTGCATTGATGTAATCACTATAAATAACTGGATTTGTATTGGATGGTGTACTAAAATGAGGCAAGGTAAATTAACAACGCTAAGTTTTCTGAAACCGTAAAAAGCTTTAAGAATGTAAGGAGAGATGTGGAAAGGGATGAGAATGCCAAACAAAATACACAATGCACTTAACACTGTAAAACCCATTCGGACAGCATGCGAATTGAATTCAGGGGACACAAAAGCAAAAGGAAGGATGAAAGCAGAAAGGACATTGATGATTGGTAATTGGTGGCCACGAAGAGAGCAAGATGGAGCTATAATGTACGAAAGGGAATGCTCCCGGACTAGATGGAACTGTGGCCATTAGAAAAGAAGCAGGAACAGCTGGTCAAACAAATCCACAGTGACCCGTGACTAAACAGACATGAAAATACCTCAATTATGAAATAATGCCTTATTCTTGTAGAGCATTCAAAAGGGGGACAAAACCAATTTTAAGACCTTGTGAACCATTTGATTTGGTGAAAACGAATGCAGTCATCCAAGCACTTACAAAACGAGGCCTTCATGAAAATACCCTGACATTTTGAAGGCAAGGAAGAGATATTGCAAATGTTCTGATTTTCAGTTTCCAGGGGTAAAGGTCATGAACAGTTAGGAGCAAAAGGTGAACTGACGCATTTATGAGACATTACCCAGGTGACAATGCAAAAAGGTTCCATAACCATCATATTTTCCAGCTTCAGGCATCACAACCAGCCCCACCGAGTCTGATGCCATCTCACCGATGACTCCTAGCCACCCCGAATCAGTCCACCATTACCCAAAGAAATCCAGTTACCAAAATCCAGGTAACACTGTATCTCAATATGCAACATAGCCTTTGTTCATTAGGTAAACTTGATCAATTCAAAAGTGACTGGAAAGTGGAGGCCGAAGCCTAACGAGGCTTCAGGTCCTTCAGTGCAAGTGCTTTTTTTGTTGTTGTAAAAAATGTTTTTGTAGACTTGAAAAAAGATTCACGCTCTCTGTAGGACGGGCTAGCACAGACCTATTGAGTGTAAATACTATTAGACGTACATAGCCTCACGAGACTACTACCACCTCCACATTCTGCTGATCGGCAGTCGAGCCTCACATTTTTGACGATTTCAGCGGCCTGGCTGTTGCGGCGGTAGAAGATTTCCTTGTAGTCGTCCATCCACACCTCGGCGAGGCGCACGAGGTTGCGCGTGATGACCGAGACGCCCTGCGGGAAGGTGTGCGGGCTCTTGGTGCGGAACACGTGCCCCACGACGGAGCACGGGATGATCTCCAGCTGCCCACCACACTGCCACACCTGCACCGATACGCACACATGTACACGCATGCGCGCACACGTCTCCCGACAGTCAAAACGCATTGCCGTGGTTTATGTGGTTAATACAAATTTACAGGCCATTGTCCATCCTCTGCTGGATGAAGGCCTCTCCACGCCGTGTTTATTATATATGATTGTTTGACCATACTTCACCATGCCAGTCAATGCATATTGGTGAGGGGGAGGATCTGTTTAAATAATGGAATTCAACTCCGATTGCCGAGGTCATAGCGGAACGCGCTCACCATTTCAAGACCACGCCACGCCACAGGTACCGTGAGTGAGCACTTATTATAGGTTCACACAGCGCACAAAGGGGTGGTGGGGCTAACACGATGCCTGGCAGCCTTTGTCTGACCATGTGGTGACGTTGACCACACTACCTCGGAGAGATTTGGGTCATGTGCCGAAAACAGTCACCCATTGTGTTGTGCATGAATAGGCATTAAGACTTGGTCCACCAAGGTCATAGAGCACAGTGAGCTAGCGACACTGATGCTGCTCATAGTTTTTGCTTAATCTGTTAGTGTGATTTCATTGCATGTTTTCATTATTGTGTTCCATTTCTCATCAAATGAGAGATGCCTGCTTCAACGTACCCGGAAAGACATTTCTATGTTTTCTCCACCCCAAATCTCCATTTGGTCATCGTACGTGCCCAGATATTCAAAGTATTTCTTGGAGATGGAGAACAAGCCCCCGGCAAAGGTTGGAGACCTGGAAATAGAAGGAACAGCTGCTGAAAGGCAATGTTTCATGAAAAAAGAAAAGCAGAAGTTACATATTAAAAATAATGAATCCATTCTTAAATTAGCAATGGATATTAATTGCAAACAGATCTTGCATTTGCATTGCCATTAGCAATTACTGACAAAAAAAAGCAAAGATGACACCTATTAATTTGCAGCCAGCGTGAGTTCTAAAATAACATCTCGTTTTTCTTTCACACTCAGGATCACAAGTGGCAGATGTTGAGGGTCGATTCTCCTTGCGCATGCAAGGGCCACATTGGTGTGATTGTGGGGAGCGATGCGCTGCCGTGGGGAGTATTTGTGTGGGGCCATATGTCAGCACACAGTCTCTCAGCGGGGGCTCTTACCGTATCGGGTATGTCTGGTCCTTCCGGAGGGCGCGTTCGCGGCTGGGTATCGGCTCCCAGCCAAAGCTGAGGCCCCAGTCAAAGTTCCCGCGGTTGTGGGCGGGCGAGTACGCCGAGGGCTTGTTCACCTCGAACGTGTTCATGTCGATGGTGGAGATGTCCGGGCTCACGACGCTCGTCTCGTTCTGACGAATCCGCGCCAGCAGCGGCTCAAGCCACCCGTTGAAGCACTCGCCTGACGGGTGCGAGGGGAGGTGACACCAGAGCGCCGGCATCAACAAAGTCGCCCCGTCGCCACCGCCACCGGCACCGTGGGTCGTGCGCCAGCATTATTTCGTCATGCTCGTTTTATATCCCTCTTTTGAACGTGTAATACGAACCCCCAAAGATGTTTTTATATACTGTTAAATATAGTTGATAGAACCGAATTACTACTAGTTGCTCGATGTTTGTGTATATATAAATCTGTGTCGTCTTGCTCAAGCGAACACAGGGTGGTGCCCATTGCTGTGGGTGCCCTGATGCGGTGGTGGCAATTCCTCTTCCCTCTGGTGGGGTCAATCAGTTCATGCCACGAACACGGTCAACTTCTCAGACCGTGGTACTTGTTATATAGATCGTGTAATGATGAGCAAACCCTGATCCCAAAATTTTTACTCGTGACATTAAAATTGCCATGTGAGCGCTCTGTCCAGAAGGATCCAGAAATGCTACAAAAACGTGAATGTATAGGACAGCAGAGAGCACACATTGGTTGTATCACATATTCAGCTGGTCATTCTTGGTAATAAATCACAGATGTGCTTAACCTCTATTAGGTGAAACGGCAAGCTGAAGGGCGTGACATCGGTGGGTGTTACACGTACAAACCGCAGTACAGGGACGTCGTGCCTACAGCACCACAAGTCAGGTGTGCCCATGGGGGAACGGGTCTCTCTTCGGGGAGTAGCTCACTAGCCTGACAGTTGTGGTTGTCCCGGAATGCTGCGTCAATCGGGGTGCATCGTCCCAGCGTGTGAACGGCGTGGCGTGCGCTGGCGTGGCGCAAGTCCGAGGCGAGCGGGTGGCCGCGTGTCCGCTCTGGCAGTGCTCACAGTGCGCGTCGAGGAAGGTGAGGACTTCCCCCTGCGCCACGCTGGCACCAAGCAAGCGCGCCGTGATTAACCCCTTCCTCTCCTGCTGCCGCACCACCTTCACGATTCCAAACTGCTTCACGTACTCATCCAGAGGACCCTTGAGGTAGTCTGTTCAAAAGAAAAGCAGCAAAGGAATCAACACTGGACAAGCGACATACAATTACTGCCACAACTCTAAGAAATAGATGAGAGTTTGCTCGTATTATTTAATAATATTTTGTCACGGGAATTGATTAATTACATATTGCGCATGCAATACGAAACAAAATCTAAACAGGTTATGCCTAGCACACGATCGATATGAAATGCAGGCCTGTATGCAAATACACACGTCTGTGTACACATACACAAAGACCTTCCCAATGAACAAGTGAGAGCAAACAGATTGTCAGTACTCTGCTGCATCTCGAGCCAGGTGAGTTAAATGGTACAAACGTGGGCGTAACTGATCTGTGCCGACCACAAAAGAGCGCCAAATAAATCACAATCAAAGCAACTCAAAATGGCAGTAAAACCAATGAAAAGTCAGAGGATCTGTTGTTCCTGTGTGTGTCGTACAGACACATGCTCTGACCAGTGCCCTTCTCTCATCCTATTCACCGCCATTGCAGTCTGTAATATCTGTTCCGCATCACAATACGCCGCTTTGATGAGGACCTCATTCACGCAGCACCACACTGGCTCGCCTCCCACCGGGGGAGCCAAAAGTCCATCGTCGGTCAATTCAAGTGGCTCAACGAGATGGTGGTGACCACACTTTCCATGTTGACACGGGCAATCCAATCTCATTACAATCAGAAACCTTAGTCTCAAAACCCTTGTCATTTCATTCCACGCATAAACACAACTGTGACCGGAACCCGAGGCGAAATTTCAATTCGACAAGTGGGGAAATATAATACCACTGAATCCTGTGTAAACGCTCTTGCATGTGGTGCGCAAATAGAAATGGGGCCACGTTTTTAGCTCACCATGGTGTTCTTCAGAGGGAGCCAGCTCTGGTCAGAGCATGTTTTACTTCACCGTTCCTACACTGGGTTTTAGGCATAGGTACTTGGCTTGTAATGAGGTATAGACTTGTACTCATTGGTTTTCGGTAAAGTCACGTATGTAAAAATAAAATAACATTTAAATTAAATTAAAATAAATCACGACGTTTCGAACGCAACACAAACGATCATCATCAGGTGGAAATGGGGTAAAATACATAGTTGAGGGAACACATAGGGGGATATTAACGCACATAGCACATAGAGAACGGTAAACTGCACGGAGGCAAATACAACAAGATGATGAGAGACGAGAACTCAACAAACCTTTGAAACATAATGTGATGCAAAACCAGTCGGCCAACAACACAGTTAGACACTAACCTGGTTGACCACGTATTTCAAAGACTGCTAAATTTCGTGTTCATCTTCTGGGCTGAACATACCAACGTAGACAGAGTGAACAGATACGAGGTACAAGGTAGCAGAGATACATACACAGAGAAGAACATACAGGGAAAGATGTTTTGGGTAGCACAGAGGGACAACCAGAGTAACACCACACCAAGAGACATACACACATGGAAAGGCACACAGAAAGACGCGTCTTACTGATTGACCGTGTCGGGTGGTGGAGGGTTGCGACACATTTATAAATAACGCGATCTAACCCAAAAACCTTTATTATGAATAATAATGGTCGCGAAAGTCTACGTGTTAAACTGAGGTCAATTCTATCTCCTCCGCGTTCCCTCGACTTCGACTTGGGGCTCCCGAGGTAGCGAGATGTTACCTCCATCGCCTGGTATGCCGCAAGTTGTGGGTTCGATCCCAATCCTGACACCTTTATATGTGGAGTGGATTTTGCTCCAGGTCATCCGGTTTTTTGGCTGCTATAAATTTCCACATGATAAGCCACTTCGTTGAGATATCATTTGTGACCAGGTCGCTTCTGAAAAAGAGCTATAAAGCTCAGTGGGCCTAACCTGGTAAAATTAAATAATTGCACTTTTTTTTGTTTAGACGTGTTCAAATCCAGGTTTAACACTTTAAGTGGCAGGTTTGTGCCAGAAAGGTGCCACGTATTTAAGCAAACATAAAACCGACTTGACTTCCCTCTACTCTTCCACTTATGAATAATATTCTAATAGATTCCTACGACTAATTTGGCAGCTACTTACAGTGGTATCACTTATGATAAGAGTTCTGTTTCTCCCACCCACACCTTCCTGTAAACATTCCCTGCATTAAAAAAATATATATCTCCTCTAATAACATCCCTCTTACATGTTGTATTTAGATTATTTCTACTGTACATGTACATGTTATTTTTCAAAGTGGCCCAGAGATAGCCGTACAGCAATTTATTATTTAATCTATTTGTTAATTCTTCGCATGTAAAAAAACAGGAATTGTTATAATTCTTGCTATGATATTATTCAAATGATGCATTGCCTTCGTAGGGACATTGCCGCTTGTGGCACAACGAATCGGAACCCTGCCTCGCCGCTCCCAACAAGCGCGTGACTCTTTGTGGCCCTGCAGGTCCCGAGTGGGCGGCCGTGGCCCTGTCGCACCGTCAACGCTGGCGTCGTCCACCAGGATGATCTCCTTGAGCAATACGGAGGGCGACGTGTACATGACGCTGTGCACGGTGCGCAGCAACGTCGACCACGCCTCATTGTGGAACACGATGATGACGCTTGTGCTCGGCATCGAGGGGCAGCGCTTGAACTTCTGCTCGATGCACCTGGAGAGGACAGCACTCTGTCAAAGCGCGCGCATGGCCATCCTCCGTCTCTGCCACCGAGGCATGGCCTTTCACGAGGAGTGTAATGATCATATTGACTAGTGAGATTAGTCTTTAGTGTTCACCTATGTATGTATGTATGTTGAGCTTCTTTCGCATCGTGCGTATCCAACCGTGGTAATTAGAGTTGCGGGGGAAGGACAACAAACTAAACACAAAAAAGCAGTTCTAAGAAATGAGTTTTCAATCCAGATCTTAAAGTGCATAGCCGCAGTGGCTTCCTAATATCGGAAGGAAAAGCGTTCCAGGCGGCTGCAGAAGCGCATCTGAAAGCACGCGATGCAGTGACTGTCTTTGTGCGATAGCTTTCCAAAAGCCGCTGCGAGGATGACCAAGGAGTCAAACCGCATCATTTAGCAGGTAAACACAACATATATAAACGATGGTGAGGATTATGTACATTGGAAGTTGGTTATTTGACCAATGGCGCATATGCGATTTATTATTATTGGTGAATTAAGTTTGTTGCGTTTATCCACTTTTTTCAACCAAATTATAATATATACTAATTAGATATTGTTAGTTAATTGCCCAACTCAATTCACACTATGTCCCTCTGTACGAACCTGAATTTATTAATATTGACAAGGACCGACAGACTCTCTCGCACCAAGGGGCTCGCTGCATGCGATCGGCCTTTACTCAACGGTGTTAACAAGGCGTCGTCGAGCAGAGCTACACGCGCATTGACCACGAAGCCACGCCGACTGTGCTCACTCGGGGGGTCGCGTGTCGGGGCCCAGGTCACGATGCAGAGACACCTTGTCGCTGGCATACACGTTGAAGCAGTGCTTCTCCATGCCCTTCTCCTTGATCGCCTTCTCCTCGGGGCTCAGATCGTCGGTCTTGTAGGCCCTGCCCGAGGCACCGGGGGCGTTGGCGTCCAAAGACGGCCGCTCCTGGAAGGGCCTCAGCTCTGCGGCAGAGTAGAAGCCACTGAGGCACGCCTGCTCGGCGGAGTCTGGCTCCGCGCGGACGGGGGCCTTGATCTGCAGATGCGGGATGGCGTCTCGGATGTTGTTGACGGCGCCCTTGACAATGCCCAACACCTTGTCTCCCACCAGGTCCTCGATGACCCAGGGCTTGTCACTGCGGGGGAGGCGGCTGACAGCCTCGTGCTGCAGGAGCAGCAGCATCATGACGAGCAACAGGGCCACCGCTCCTGTGATGATCACCACCTTCGAGCGCCTTCGCCCAAACAGCCTCATTCTCACCGCCCGAGCGTCGGTTTCAGCTGCAGCGCGTGCACACGCACGCACACAGATGTACACGCGGGCACACACACGTTTAACCACAATTCAGAGTTTGTAGTAACCAATAAAATATTATAAGATTGTGGAAAAAAACGTTGATGCGGAGGGAAAAAAACTGACCGAATTGTTGCACCCTGTGCGGTGTGTGTGGAATAATCCTTCATGGAGAGTCTTCTCTAAAAGTGTTTAATCAGTCAAGCGTTAGGACACGTTTACTTTTTTCCAGTGGTTGCTGGGTGACATGGCAGCCAGCTGAAGCTAGCACAGAAGCTCACGAATGCTGTGGATTAAGCCCAAAAGCGAAATCCAGCACAATCCTGGAACAGCACTGGAACTAATTTCACCCAAAAGAAATCTTCTATCTGCATGCTCCATACTGCATTATTTTAATCACTTAGTTATCATACTGCTTAGTATTTTACTGAATCTTAAACTCAGGTGCAAACCTCTTGGATGTCTCGGCAATTCTTTTTTCGCCAACTTGTGCTTCGCAGCGACTTACAAAGTTCGACGTCTGGGCAGCGTTTCTTGCTCTCTCTCTCTCTGTAGAATTTTTACCGAATGTAGTTTTTGAAACATCTCACAGAAACGCGACTTTCTCAAGTTGTGACTCCTCAAGTACACCCTGAGCATATGTCCTGGCCGTGAAGTCTTGCTCGAGCAAACACTCCAGAATGGGATACAGACCCTGTTAAAAGTGTTTTTGCCATGTATGTTTGTTCTGGCTGTGGTGTTGCACGTTGCCAAGCTACTGTAAAGATTGTTTGCGGCCGAACAGCACAATTTACCTTCGCGTGACACACACAGTGTGCCAATGCTGCGCGGGTCTAGCGGGGCTGAGAATCCACTCCTTGCCCACAAGCATCACCGATGTCGTGTTAACGCACGCAAGAAGGTTCATGCAAGCATTTGCATTTTTATAATGCGGCTATTGCAACTTGCAGCACCGTCAGTGCATTTTAATTAGGCCTATGTATAAACAAACTCTGCCAAGTTGACCGCGTACAATACAATACGGCACGACTTATGTGTTAATATACAGCACTGTAATTACTGTTTGCGGTTTCCACGTTATCAGACCAAAACAGGAAATCACCATGGTAAATGCTGTACGGAGCCAAAGACCTTGGCTGTGGGCAGTTCCAGAGCACCCAGACACGTTTCTTGTACATTTCATAAATTTTAAATGTGCCCCTTAAAAGGCATATTATGGAGCCCACTTCAAATATAACAACCACACTATAGCGATAACTTAATTACCCTCTGATATACTATGAAGTTTGTGTGTGTAAATATATCCAGCATGTGTATCTGACAGAAATATATACTGATTATCGGTGTACAGGTACTGTAGTTTATAAATAACTAACAGGGCAGTGCATTTACTTTCATTCTTTAAAGCTCCTTTGATGCAAACACACACATAAATCCATGCTAATATTTATGTGTACATCAAGGCCGTAATTATAATATATATTGGGGGACACACATCCCCCCCAATATTCAAATATGCTCAAAATGTCCCCCCCCAAATATATTGCTATAAAATACATTTCTGTGTATATGATTGTGGTTATGGTTGTACTTTATTAATCCCTAATCTCTGCCATTACATACAATAAAACAAGAAAAGGTAAAAAAATACAATACACTATTAGACATTATTGTAAAAAAGAAATAAAAAGTCCATCCTATGTGTTAGTGAATTTTTTTATATTTTAGGCAGGAAATTAGTTTTCAAATTTAGATTTTTTTCTGGGGGGGGGACCCCCAGACCCCCTAGAAGATTTGGTCCCCCCCAATGTTGCCTCCATGGCTACGGCCTTGGTGTACATACATATTTTGTCTCGGACTTCTTTATGCAAATAAATACATCATTTAATTCACGAAATCCTGACATTAAATGACAAAAAGGCAAACTACAATTTTAGCACAATGCAGAATGCATGCTATCCATCACCAACCATCCCGGCTGAAATGTACTCCAACCACACAAACACACGATTCAAAGTAGTCACTCCATCGATCTTGCTCTTTTTGCTCATCGTTTGCCTCGGTGTCACCAGTGCGCCCAAGACGGCGGCCCTCTCCTCTCGTCCCGATTCTCTTCACGACGAGTGGAAACTCGATTCGTCCCAAATTTCCAAGAAACGATCATTTACGCCTCCGTCCTCATTCCGAGCTCACCTGCCACGCCGCTCACCTGTACAGTAGTGCTGGTCGTGCGTCTTTGGCGGTGGCGTGTTTCCAGTGTGTCACTAAGCCCAGGTGTTCGTTACCCGGCGTGTCTATTCGTGTGTGTGTGTGCGAGAGTTGGTGTGCGCTATTGTGTAATTATTAATGTGTGTGCGTGTGTATCAGTGTGTGTTAGTCAGCGTGTCTGTTTAGTTTAATTGTTGCGCGTTCTTGTATCCCTGTGTAGGAATGTATGTTTGGCGTGAAATGAATGTGCGTTGGGGGTGTGGGTATGCGGGTGTTTGTGCAATCCTCTCCGGGTCGCAAACCCCAACTCAAATCGTGGCGTGCGTGCAAGCCGGGCCGATCCGTGCGCGCCACCTGGGCTCCGCTCGACTTGCCCATCATCAGCAGCTCGGTGCTACCTACCCTCGACCCCGACTCTCCCCCCCACCCCCACCAACACTTCACCTTGTCTCAGACTCTTAAGACAAACCACCACTCTCTGGCATATAGTTGCACAAGTACAGCCTTCTACACACGTGAGCGTGGCACTGAAAACACGGTAACTCAACGCCACCGGCTGTGCGGAAGTCTCCTCTTCCTGCTCGATACAAACTCACTCATTGACTCACCCACGCTCACTCACTCATTTACTCACTCATTGACTCACCCTCACTCACTCACTCGCTCCACACAGCTTCTCACCTGCGCCTCTCAAGCAGCCGTGTGCAGGTTGACCGCTGGTGCCACCGGTCCAGGGAGGGAGGGAGCCGGAGGAGGGTAACCCTTGACTTGCAGAGGGCAAATCGTGGGCGCCTCACCTGGGCCAGGTGCTAACGTGGCGGGCAGGGGGCGGGGCTCGGGGGAGGGAGGGAGGGGGGGGTGGGGCTGAGGGGCGGGGGTCTCACCTGGGCGCGGTGGAGCCACGTGTTGTGTTGTCAATGGGGCTTTTGTCTCATGCCGCCAGCGCTGCGTGAACACTGCGCCTTTAAACGTATCACAGCCGGTTATACTGGTAGGAACCTCCTGGTTACACCAGCCCACAGGGGATTATTGTGTCCGTCCGTCGTGCATCAAAAAATGGGAGCGGTGGGGCTGGGTGGAGAGGGGAGGGGCTGGGTGGGGAGAGGCTGGGTGGGGAGGGGAGGGTGGGGAAGGGCTGGGTGGGGCTGGGTGGGGAGGGTGGGGAGGGTGGGGCTGGGTGGGGAGGGTGGGGAGGGTGGGGCTGGGTGGGGAGGGTGGGGCTGGGTGGGGAGGGTGGGGCTGGGTGGGGAGGGTGGGAAGGGAGGGGCTGGGTGGGGAGGGGAGGGTGGTGGAAGGGCTGGGTGGGGAGGGTGGGGCTGGGTGGGGGGTGGGAGGGGTGGGGCTGGGTGGGGAGGGGCTGGTCACCCCGTGGTGCCCTTATACAACTCAACGTTTAACCTACTCACACCGGCTTGTGCCCGCCCTTACAGTCGGGCATATTTGCGGAATACACCACGCCGCCGTTGACCCTGGCCATTGACCGAGCAACCCAACGTTCCTACCAGCTCCCTCCGCAGGAATGTGTTACCTGCCCTATTTGTTTTATACGATTTTTGTGTTATGGACAGCAACCCATCGCTCGCTTTCTCTCGGTTTAGCGAAGTATTTGGTTCAAGGATGACGTGGAGGTCGTAATTTGTTTTTAGCTGTCAAGCACTCGAGGCGTGAAGCAATTAAGAACATTGCAATATTGGGTTTGACCAATTATCCTCCGGGTTATGATATTTTTAGACCCTTTTTTGGTTTTTAGATTTTTCTCATTATAAGCGTAGACTAAACCGTGCCAAACGTCACATTTACGACCCTTCTCGAACATAAAAATAATGCACATTAGTAAGCCACTCGGTCACTACCATAATTATATTCGCATACAGCCACGAACGACAAACTGGTGGATGCAGAGAATACCAGGAATCTCGTGCACTATAGAGGGTAAGCATGTTGGCAGGTGTAATGGGTTGGATAAGTGTGCAGGATGGAGGAGAGCAGGCGACCCACCCAAGCGCTGGATTGGCAGCCAGGGGTGACCGGCCAAAGGGAAGACCAAACCCATATTGTTCTGGTGATGCGACTGTCATAGCGGTCCTTGAAAGACATGTTGACTGTGACAAGTGCACATACAGCCAGATACTGTGGCTTTACGAAGTGCGTTGTAGTGTCGACTTTGCAACGTGGTAGTCTAGCAACGGCAAGGACGTGATTGACAAGAATGATATCATTAGACCTCCTTTGCCAGTACCAAAATATATTTATAGGGGTTTTCCCCTTTTTTCTGGCAACAAAACTCAAAATTCATTACTGTGATAGTACATTGTCTTTGAGCTGTACGCCTTTTGGCGTCCTCTGGTCGAGTACCAATTGGGTCGAGGCTCAAAAGAAAGCCGTCCCTTGGTGTGGACCAATCAGTTTCAAGGACAATGCATATGAATCCTTGTAAAAAGGTTGCAGTTTTGTTGCCAGAAAAAAGGGGAAAACCCCCTTTTATTATAAGAATATCTTTACTCGCAGCATTTTAAGAGGTCGGGCTTTTATTTTTAAAGTCAGACACCAAACATACACACGTTATATATATATACAGTATTCACCGACTTAAACAGTACTTCACATAATTCGTGAATTGTGGCTTTTAAGAGCGTCAATGTGGTTTGAAGTGTTGACTGCCCTTCTTACATTTGCAAGAAAATATGCGTGTGTAGGTAACCCATCGGATATGGAAATTTTGAGTTTCCACAAGTTGTGTGGTCGTGGGCAGCAGTTTGAAACTCACAGAAACGGAGCCTGTGGGTTTTCAACGCAAACTGTAGCAACCTTCTCTGTTACGCTTTTCCACATTTAGGTGCAGTGTTTGGGTTATTGCACCTTTTTGGTTAATCAACATGCTAGACAGCGCAATAGGTTTTGTCTACTTAACAAGTCGTACCTTGTTTTATCGTGATTGATGTGTTAAATATCACGTATTGAACCAGTAAAGCTATGTTTAACGTAATATTGCATTCATTTTACAATTCTATGTTAATCAACGCGTCGATGCCCTCCATAAGCCTTTGTTGTCATGGAAGATTGGTATCTATATTTCACCATGCGGATCAGGGGTGTACATGATTATGAAAATATGTACAAATGGAATGAGTGTGCAATGCCATATATAGGAAGTATATGTATTTTACGAAATGAATGTTACGTTTTCGGTAACTGTTTTCAGAATCAATTACGGGTTTTGAAAGTCGAGAACCGGTAGTCATTCACAGTGGAATTTTTTGTTATATATGTTGAACTTCTTTCGCACCATACGTAGCCAACCGCGCTACTCAGAGGTGCGAACTGATTGGCACTGCGAACATACAATCGGAACGGGCGGCCTCGGGCATTGCGTGGTTTATTCACCCTTCTCAGTTAAAGATGTCAAGGTGCAAACCCTGCAATTGCTTGCTCACTCAGACAAGTCCTGGCAGAAAAGGGGCTTCCACGAGACAGAGCTCTAGAGGGTATTTGGCGCACTGTTCCATACCGACCAGAGCGGGAGGATTTAAGAATGTTGGCCAGTTTCAATTGCCGCACACCTGGAGTTGAAGCGGCGTTCTCTGGATTGCAAGTCTGGTGTGCTTTTGTACCACCCAGTTAAACAGACAAACGTGTTGTTAGTTGCTAGACATATCTATATGTGCAGAAAACTGGTAACTGGTATTTGACATGTTTTACTGGTAGTGCAAGAAAATTACGACGTTTAATATCCCTAACTATGACAGTGAATGGTGTGTCACTCTTTTATTGAAATAGGCAAGACAAAATAACAAAACATATCAGTTACACGATGTAAGTACAGCACAAGATAATATGAATTTCTCAATATACTGCAAGTACAAACTTGTAGAGGGAGTAGTCGCTTACACTACACATTATGAATGTGATCATTATACAACCACAAAATAAACACAAGGGCTGCAGAATTTATTTCAATCCAAAACAGATGGAGAAATGACAATCTTTAAGTGAATTAGGAGCACCAGATTTTTCCTAATCATTGTGAATGTAGCAGAGATCAGTTACCCTCAGGGAAAATCCCATAAGCTTGGCTCCAATTGTTTATTTTAGATAAATCTGACCAGTTTTTAAAACCGAATTAAGCACTTATAGGTGGTCTCAATTGATAGTTATATGAAAAACGCCACACAATATGCAAAACAAACTATGACAGATACATTACAGTTGTAATAAACTAGTCAAGGTTGTATACAATTCATTAGCCTTACACACATGATTCTGTGCATAAAAACGTACGAATGAAAGTTATGTTCTTAGGGAAGCTCTCGCTTTATCCAGTATGTCCTTTCGCATCTTCGGATAGTCTGGATGAGCTCCCAGGACCTAAAGATACAAACAGAGTGGTTTACTAGAAATAGGGTTTTACAAATGACATTCACACAAAATAAAACCCTTTTAAGAACATGAAAATGAAGTGCACGGTGGCATAATCATGTTTTCACAACTTTCAGTCATAGAGCAAAGTCAAGCAGTTTAAAAAGGGATTCTCAAAAATTACATTTTCACTCACCTTGTGGCAAATATCAATTGCATCCACATACCGCTTTCCTTTGAGGTAGTTAAAAGCAAGCTTGTAACCTGTTAATAGAAAATGAAATTCATCTCCATCATGATTTTTGAAAGCATATAGCATGTATAAAAGAAATTAAATGTAATGACATCTTCTATAAATCAACTCACCAATGGTGGGGTTGGATTGACTGGTATATTTCCATGCCAGCTCATAGTTTAAAGCTGCATCTTTGTAGGATTGTTCCTTTTCCATGATGAAGCCCATGTACTCATACGCTTTGCTACAGGACTGAAGGAATAAAAAAGAAGTAAATGGCTGAATTAAAATCAATATGTAAAGTAAATGTGACAGAGCAAGCTTAGATACGTAATTTTATTCATGAATATTTTGGAGAGATTTCCATATTTTGTAATGTATGCCCATTCACTTTTTTGCATTTCAAACTTCAACACAACACTATCAAAAGAAGATTACCATCACTGACATTGAGATGACACCTTTCACCGGTGTACCTTGACATGCTTATTGAGCGTATAAGGCTATCACAACTTCTGTTGGCCTCGCATAATGGTACCACTTACACACCTTGTTGTGTTGCAGACAGCGACGCAGGAGCTCTCCAGCTATGTCGTATTTGCTGGCCTGGATGTAGATGTCTGCAAGGAGGAGCCAGCTGCGCTCAAACTCCTCCGCTTCCTCAGGATTCCAGGTCATCTTCCCCACACGCTTGAGGTGATTGCGAGCGCGCGGCGTCTGCTTGAGGATCATGAATGCCGTGGCCATGCCCAGCAGTGCAGGTACGTGCTCCTTCTGCGGGCAAAATACAAAGCACCGTTGCAACCTTTTCAGCTACTTTATCAAACAACCGTTAATGAGAAGAGTACAGAGAGAGAGCTAGGGCTTGGGTTATGTATTAGTGTTGGACGTATACATGATAGGGCACCAGAGCCAAACAATAGGCATGTAACTCGGTGATTTAAATCTATTGTTACGCTTATGATACGTTTTTTGAATCACGCGTACGAGAATTGAAAAAAATGGAATTATATGCAAATTTAGCTAAAGTTACACGTAGGTTAATGAAGTCAATCATACAAACTTGAACGAAATTAGAGGAAATAATATAAACCAATACTAAACAGAAAATATTTTTGAATAAAATTGCAACCTCGTGGTAACAATTAACCAAACTGATGGGCCAGTGACTCATCATTAAACACCCAAATTGAACAGGTAAGACATGAAAATGTATATTTTCCCAACTGGGACCTGGACATACAAACGGTAAACAGATGAACTGTTTACCCAGTATTTGTGTGTTCTCTCTATCCAGGTCACAATGTACCTCTGTGCTTGCTATGTCAGTGAAGGCGTTGAGGGCCTTCTCCACACTGGCCTTCTGCCGCGTGGCCATGAGGCAGTGGTTCTCCAAGATGCGCACTCGCAATGCATCCTGGGTGCTCCGGGGACGAAGCTCCTGTAGCAGCTTCTCTGCCGTGCGCACCGCCATCTGCTCCGACTCCTGCCGTTCCCGTTGTGATGAACTGTAGCAAACCATTGCAATAATAAAATGTAGGAGCAACATTTAACATGATCTGTCATCTTAGATCCATTTCATTTCCTAAAATAGTACAGTGCAGAACACCACTGTGAAGCTGATTTAACTACTTAAACTACTCTATACGATATAAGGCAATGTTAATCATGTTGGTCACAATGTATTTCTAGTTGGAGCTTGGACACCATGTCCAATGTAGTCCTTTAAGAGTGTTTTTTTGTATTTCACAAATGATTTTATCACTCACCTCACATTTCCATCAAGGTTTTCAAACACCTCCCCTCCAACAATATCATTGTCTGGGTTCAGGCAGATCTCAATCATGTTGTAGATGGCTTTCTGCCCCCAGTCACTGTCCTTGCGAGCTTTGTTGAAATGCTTCAGAGCGTCATTGGGTTCTCCAGTGTACCTGCACATACACATTTTGAACAATGTGTTATCCTTTCTATTTTCATGAAACCTGCATTTGAAGGAACACATTTCAGCATTAAAACTACAATTAAGTATTACGTGGAAACAGGCCTACCAGAGATACAATCCTTTGCAGTAATTGTAACCAGGGTCCAGGGGTCTCTGGCTGCCATTCTTCTCTGCTAGCATCAGAAACCTGGGTGCCTCCCCCGGTGTTCCAGCTCTTCTCAGCAGTTCAATCATTCGTGCCAGAGCACCAAAATTCTCTGTTGTTTTCCATATGAACATAAAAAACACGAGACTCTTAACCAAAAGTGCAAATTAAGGTAGACTATGAAATTAAAAGTGACATTTCATGAGTGCACTACAGCCAACAGAAATCAAACAAACCTGGTTTTCGCTCAATAAGCTGCTGGAAATGGAAGATGGCCTGCTCATAGTCATGTTTCCTGAATAGAAGATCGGCCATCATCTGCAACATTACATTCGTGTAAAAGAATAAATAATCGGTTAAATTATTCATAATTGCAATATAACTTAATGTATGGTGAGGCAGTGTTTACCAAACATGTGGGTCATAAAATTCCGAGTGTAACTGTGCTCCAATATACCTTCTTGGTGCCCTATCCAGGACATCACAATCTATAACAATACTGTGCAGAGATCATAGTTAAGAGTGCCTCCCAGGAAAATCAACGGGTTTGTTTCAGGAATAAAAAATAAACAGTTACCATTGTGGCATCATCATTATCTACATCATTCCTCAAGATGGTGGCACATTGCTGCTGGCAAACATCCAGATTGTCCTGAGCCATGTATATCCGAGCCAGTTCCAGTATAACCTGCAACAAAAATATCGTTAAATAGTAAGACAGTAGTCCCTCTGTTAACAGTGACATCTGTTAACGATTTTTCGGTTAACGTTTCGCCTCCCATAGGACCCCATGGTTTCAACTAACGTAAAAATTTTGATTAATGGTATGTTTACATTTTGCACGCAGGCGCCAATTTCAGCAAATCCGAGCGCTCGAGAGGGGCTGAGCATGCCTTAGCCAATCAGCAACGCCCATTTATGAGCGTTTACACCTCGACTGGCTTTGTTTACATTACGATTTCTGTTTTGGCAGTGTGAACAACTATCTTGCAGACTAAGTGATTTTTATGTATTTTTCAATTCGATTAACAGTTATTTCGGTTAGCAGTAGTTTTTGTGCAACGGATTAAAAACGTTAACCAAGGGACTACTGGAAGTACATTTATATTGCACGCACAACATATTGAAATGTCTCAGGTAACGCAGCATTGGTCTGCAAGTGGGCATCAGTCTGCCAGTAGGTGGATATGATTGTTATGTGTAACCCTAAATGAGTAATTTGTGGGTAATTTTTTTAAGGTTGGCAAAATTGGACCATGCCGCTGGAACACAATGGTCTACTCTTTTAGAATTAAATTATGGAATCCTAGACATCCACTGTAAATGCAGACAGCACATTTTTTACAGTTAATACACTCGTGGTATTAACCAGGGTGGCCTGCTGGAATAGAACCACAACATTCTACAAATGGCGAACGCGTCACCACTGGGCCATGTGACTGCCCTGATAGAGCACAAGAACCAGGGAACTTCTGAAGGAGTACGTCATACACAGCTTGGCTATTTTACAGCACCCAGGTAAATTTACAACAATGGCAAAACAGTGAAAAGTATTGAATCCTGTAAAGACTAACTTGATATAAAATGCAAACATGATGAAGTGATTTGTCCCAGGCACCTAAGAGTCAGGCAGTACCTTACTGTCATTCTCACAGTAGACCAGAGCCTCCCGGTAGAATTTAGCAGCCTTGTCATGCTCGCGCTGATCGATGGCTTGTTCAGCAAGTTGGGAACATATTTGAGCTGCTAGCTGCTTCTGCGCTGGCACGAGGTCTGGTTGCTCCACCTGCACACGCTTGAGGATACGTGCCTGCACCTCTCGGGCCTGCATACACAGACAGGTCAATGCACACAATTGAGCAACCACTCTTTACTGAAGCTGCCAACCTCTTGCATGCATTTGGTAAAAACTAGGATTGCCGCAATATGGCAAAATTACGATATAGCATACAAAATATTAGTGATAATCATCTTGTCTGTTTTGCAAAATATAATTATATCATGATAATTGTTGATCGACATTTTTTTGTAAATATTTTACTTTCTAGCTAAATATGAGTGAAAAACAAACTCATTAACTTAAGGTGTTAATAAATAGCTACTATCCACTAAATTAATGCTTTGTAAAATGTTTTCCAGTGTAATTCAATACACGCCGATTATATGACGTAATTTTCACTGGTAATTTAATTATAGTTTTTTTAATATAACTAACAGCATGTGTGTAATAAGCATTCCAGATTGTAGTAATTATAAACAACTTAGACTTGTGTTAGGAAACTGCATTCAAAGGAATCTTTATTAATATTAGAATTACAGCAAAGCACACAAATAATCGAATAAAAATGTTTCCCTCATTGGAAAGTCATGGAGTAATTATATCGGGATAATCATTATATTGCAATATTTTACATCCTATTTTATCTTGAAAATATATATCACGGCAACCCAAGTAAATACTATTTATTTGAGCAGAGCCTGTATTGTTTTCAACCTGCGGGGACTGTACTATTCTGTGGTAGCGAAGCGGGAGCTGAGTTCTCGAACAAAGCTCTCGGTTTACAGGTCGATCTTCATACCCACCCTGACCTATGGTCAAGAGCTTTGGGTAATGACCGAAAAGATGAAATCGCAGGTACAAGGGGCCGAAATGAGGTTTCTCCACAGGGTTTCTGGGCTCACTCTCCGTGATTGGGTGAGGGAGTTTGGTAATCCGGGAGAGCCTCAGAGTCGAGCCGCTGCTCCTCCAGATCGAGAGGAACGAGTTGAGGTGGTTTGGGCACCTGGTAAGGATGCTCCCCAGTAGACTCCCCCTGGAACTCTACCGGGAATGTCCCTCTGGGCGAAGACCCTGGGGCCGGCCCAGGATACGCTGGCGGGACCATGTCGCTCAGCTGGACTGGGAACACCTAGGAATTCCCCAGGAAGAGCTGGAGTCTGTCACCAGGGAAAGGAGGTGTGGACCGCCCTACTCAACATGCTGATGCCACGACCCTCGTCAGGAATCGGATTAAGAAACGAACGAATATAAAAACTAAGCTGCAACTGTATCTTAGGCTACAAGCAATATGGATTTAATACATGTTATGTTCTTACCTTGGTTAATGCTAGCACAGCATCATCAGTCTTTCCTGTCTTACTGTGGACTTTGGCCAGCTGAACCAGATACTTGGTGTCTTCCATTAATGTCTGTAGGTCATTAACTGAAGCCAAAAACACAACAGTTATTTAACTAAAAAACGAACCGATTACGATTCATGCACATCACATTATTTGCTACTGTCACACAATACTAATGTATACATTGACAATATTCCAACTTTAAGGTATTTCCATCATGTCATATTATTCTGCATGAAAGCCAGCATGGTTATGTTAATGTATAATATGGACTGGTGTTAATTTGTGTCTGTACATGATACAGGAAGACCATTTACCAGGATAAAAATTTAAAATTAATAAAAGTAAATACAGCTATCATGCTGTGACGGTTCCACCTGAAAACGGAAGCTTGTGTTGCCTCCGAAACGTCGTGATTTTTATTTTTATTTTACTTTTTATTTAATTTTTATTTTACTTTTATTAATTTAAATTTTTTACCTACGTGACTTTACCGAAAAAACCTAAGAATATGAATCCTTGCAGTCACGAAAGCTTCAAATCTAGAATTTACCAGGATGGTGATCCAGTGCCTGCCTCAGAACCTTTTCCGCCTTGTCATACTGACGCAACATAAGCAGCAGTTCGGCCAGGTCATAGCGCAATAGGTTCTGCTGCCCACTCTTCAGTGCTGCCTCGTAGTAGCTGATGGCCTGGACATTCCACGTTCAAATAGATTTTTAGTTCAAGCATCAACTTCCATCACGTGTACATGTATTTTAATTTGGAACTTTTGTCATGCAGTTTTACGACTGTGGCCTTTGTGACTTTAAACATTTGTGAGTCAACGTAAGCTCATTGTCAAAGATTGCAGTAAGTGGTGAAATTCTGACGCACCTTGCCATAGTTGTGAGTGCGAACGAGGGCTTGGCCAATTTTACTGGCCAGAACTCCATCACGAGGGTTCTTCTTCATGGCCTGCTCATACACGTCAATCGCCTTCTCTGGCTGGTGATACCACACATGAGATGAAGCATAGTTACGAAAAAATATGAACCATTGACACATTTAATAGTATAGATGCACAGAGCTCTCCACACATACAATTACCTCTTGAATGTTCATGTAGGCATCACCCAACAGAATGAAAGTATGAGGGCCTGGTAGCTTTTCCACCAGCTCCCTAGCAATGAGACCACACATCATGTTCATCAGCATTTGTAGCTTCTCAATGGCTAAACATGGCAACACAGGGTTGTCCTATAATGTAATTCCCCTCTTGGTTATGGCTAAAACAGGTCTTGGCATATAAAAATGTATGACATATTTCACATTAAGCACTACATCAATGCCTCTTTAGCTAGACAAAGACTTGGATTTGGTGTTTGTTGCCCAAAGGATGTGCTGAATAAGTCCCTCCAGCAAAAATTAAAGCAGAAGGCAATGATTGTGACATTGCACTTGTTTTTCTACTGCCTCAATTAAAAACTGCATCGATCTCATGCAGTTTAAGCTAGTAGCAGAGAGTTTGAGTGCAAAATATGCGCAAACATTGTTATGCTAACTTGACATCCATAGCATGCTGGGATTCTCGTTAATGTTTTTAAACGTAATTTTCTAAATCGCATTTTGATACAACAAAATCAACGTTATTGTTTGTAAACAACAAGCAGGCATCATACCGATAGCAGGCAGCATAGAGATTCTTGTCCTTGCGGTGGTGCAGGTAAACATGGGCCATCTTCTCCTTGGCTTGTATGTAGTATGGCTGCTCAGGTGAGATGCCGCGTAGAACGCTGAGCGTGCTTTCGACGTCACCACGGCCGAGTGCCAGCTCCGCATTGGAGATGACCACACGCACCTCCTCCGGTGTCCCAGAAAACTCGTTAATGGCATCCTGCATCACCTTTGCAGCTTCGTGCTGAGAAAAGTGCACAACACGGTAGTTAAAAAAAGAGTGAGCGATAGATTCATCAATTGCACACCATAGCGCACTTTGATGTGTAGTAATATTCAATCATAGCCACTTTTAACACAGTCGAAAAAATCTGCAGGAATAGGTCAATATTTTCTATTTTTTTTCCAGGATAAACATATCATCTAGAATTAGGCCAACACTAACTGCATAGCATATTAAAGTCCTTTATAACAGCTAATTAGAAACTTGAGTTACGCAGTGGGCAACCACTGAAATACCTGATGAGGAATGATAACTATTTATGATTGTCACACACGGTACCTGTTCACCATTCAAGCGGAGAGCATCTGCGAGCTCGAGAAACACCGATACTCGATCCGTCGTGTTGATGTCTGGGACTTTCCCTTTAGATTTCGTGGCCCCAGATCGCTGCTTCATGCCAGGCAAACTCATGGCCAACTTTAGCGTTCGGAGAGCATCAGGTACATCACCCGTCTCCTTCAACACTCTGGCTTTGATCAAGTGGTAAAGAGGATGATCTCGTATCTGAGAAGACCAACATTGTATTAGTTGCCAGTCCAGTTCATAACTCTTGGAGAACATGTAGAGAGCAAAATCATTCTCGCAAAACATTTAAGGATATATAGTTAAAATGAAATTCCAAGCAGACCTCAAAGCTATGGCTGAGGGCCAGCTCCAGGGACTGTGAGCTCTGCTTATAGTTTTTCTGTGACAGGTAAATCTGAGCCATAAGCAGGTGAGCATCCGAGTAAGAGGGGCTCTTTTCTAAGCAATGCTGTAGACTTCCTTGTGCTGCATCAATGTCTCCTAAACACAACACAAACGACACATTACAATCCAATTTCATTTACGAGGTATACTCTGTTCTAAACCAATGTCTTGCAAGTATTTAAAGGTAGTGCATTGTATACTGTTCAAGTCCTGATACTCGTGGTCAAAGGACAATTATCTCAATTAAAATATGTCTGAACCTGAGCCCCATTAAGCGTAGAGGAATGAATACCTGAGATGTACTTTGTTCGAGCCATTAGGTAGAGTCCTTCCATCACTCCTGGAGCAACCTTTACTATTGTTTCCAATAAGGTAACACATTGCTTCAGCACAGGAGGTAGGGCCTGTCCAGGTGCCCCAGGCTGCAACACAGTAATCCACCACATTACCAATTGATACATATATAAGTAACATGTACTCACAAAATCACTAGCCCTAAGAAAGCCTCACTGACCATCAAGGCAAATTTGAATTTGGGTTGTAATTTTAATACAATTATTTTTATGAATTGAACTATATGTTGCATACATCTAAAGTTTCATAACCACAAAACGATGGAAGCAGCAGCAGCTGCAAGAATAATTGTATTACCTGTGTAGGGCAGAACGTCAGGTACTCCTTGACAATTTCTAATATAAAGTCAGGATTAAGCTTTTCAAAGTACAGCATTCCTAGTGGAATTCCAGTGAGGGCCACAAAGTGGGTGTCCACAGCATCATCCAGGAGAGCAAGTGTTTCATCAAGGCCCTTTTGCCTCCTCACAGCAAGTACTGCTCGCAGGTAGGAGAGCTCCTGTCAAAAGAGCAATGACTCAAAATTCAAGAAAGGATCTCTCCTACAAATATATATTTATGATACTCAAGACAAGATCAAAACACTTTTCAAAAGCAGACGTTGTATTCCATGACATAATATTGCAATGCTTTGATTTGGACTTGATGGAAATGCTTACACCCGATTTTCCAATGCTCTCTTGTATTTCTTTAAGGAGTTCCAGTTGTTGTTCAGCATCATCAAGACGGCCCTCAAAAAGCTGGCATTTGATAATACCTACAAATTAATAAAATAAGCAGTGAGTACTCGTGAATGCAAGAAATATTTTTTTTCAAAATTGAAATGCACAGCAAGATGACATACCCATCAGAGCTGTGATACTAGTTTCATCCAGGCTCATCCCATGCCTGTAATGCTTCATTGCCTCCTGAAAATTCCTCTGCATTATAAGCTGGTTTCCAAGCTCTATGGCAATTTCTGCATCATGAGGGGTTATATGAAATGCTCTTTCAACCAGGGCATATGTCTGCTGTAAAACAAGCTTGTTCCGTCCGCTCTGAAAAAAAAATCAATATCAATGATTGTAATTTGTTAAAAGAGAACAAGATAAAAATGTACATATCCACCAAAAAGAGTAGACTCACCACTCTGCTGAAGACCAGAGCCAAGCGGTGACATAGGCCAGGATTGCTGGGCTCAAATCGATCCAAAGCATTTATCAAGTCACCAATTCTTGCCGCAGCCTACAGATAGAATGAAAACAAATGAAGGAAATGTTATATACTGTATTTGAATTTACATTACAATGCATTACATTAAATAATGTTGCATTTCACAACACGTTTTATTAGGTATATGTTAATTGCCATGTGGTTTTGTGGTTCAAATTACACTTACCACTGTAGAATCTCCTTCCCTGCAGAGGGCGTGTAGAATCTGCATCTGGAGGGCTTCAAGGGAATGACTGTCTTTCTGCAAAATCCTTTAAATATAGTGAAACGAAAGTGTGAACTGTGCAATAATTACACTGAAGAGTGCACAATGATATGTTTTAAACATTTAATATTTACGATACCTCTGGCCAGTCTCCAGTGTCTGCTCCCAGTCCTGTAGGGCCAGTTGCAACCTCATCTTCTCTACCAGGGCTGGCAGGAAGCTAGGAAAAGCCACTATGGCTTGGTTTATTACCTCCAAAGCACCAGAGTAGTTGTGCTTCAATTCAAAGTATTTTGCCTTAAAAAAAACATTGTAGAAAATCAGAGCCAATGATTAATGTTACACGTTAAATACTGGCACGTTAACTGTTTAACATGAGTGTAATGCACAGACCCACCTTTCCCATCAGAGCAAATGCATCTTTGCCTTGCTGCAGTCCTTCATCTATGTATTTTATGGATTTCTTCATAAAAACATCCTTTCCACAAGTCAGGTCAATCCATCCTTTCAGTATTAAGCCCTGTAGCACAATAATGGCTTTTAATACTGTATAATGATGTACAAAGTACCTCAATGTTCAAACAAATCAAAGTATTTATAAACTTCACGTGGCTCACCTTCTTGGCATCGCTGGATATTTTGATCATTCGATCGATGTATTCTCTGGCTTTTTCATGGCGACCAATGAGCCACAGAAACAACGCGCCGAAATAAAGAGATTTCTCTCCGGCAGTCTTGCGGTCCTCTTTTAACTTCGCCTCCAGTTCTTGTACTGCTTCACGGTCTGCCATTAACAGCCATGTGACATGTCATAAAAATGCTCATCGTTTAAGTGCACGTCACAAGATATCTCATTAATGTGTTTGTTCACAATGTACAAATTACTGTACATTTTGCAGTTCTTACCGACTGTGGAGCTTTTCTTGTGGGCATAAATGAGGGCAATAATGGAGCAAAGTGACACATCCTGTTTGGTTTTGCTTGCTTCAAGTTCCCTAATTGCCTCTGGAATACGTTCTGCAGTGATAATAGACAAGAAAACAATGGTCTATAAAAATCAATTACCACGTCCATATTCTTGCAAATAAATGTAGGAAAATGTATTTGGTTAATATAGTTCAGGATTATAAAATAATACATAATGTATACCTATCTGTTATATACTGCATATCTCCATAATTATTTTGGCATTGATCAGTCAGGTATTTCTGGAATGCAGTGTAAGCTCAATGCATAAAATAAGCATTGTAACATTTTTTGGTGATAAAAATTCAGGACAAATTCAACCTCTGGTTTTATAACAACAAAATATATACTCATAAGAATACAATGTTTACTTCATACATCTGGCTCTTACATTAAAACAAATCAATAACCCATTGGCCCACTGGCCTTTTGGGAGTGCATAATTTTAGGAGCAATGATTCAGTTCAAGCAAACTCCGGACTGGTATCTACAACAAATGGTATCTACATCAGCAGAGTCAAGCTTGCTTGAATTAATGCTGGTGAACGACCAGCATATGTAGTAACCCAGTCAGCAAGTCCCACCACTCATGAATATTCGAAATTAAGTCCACACAGCACCTTCCATGAGCATTCCAAGTGCGCGGAAAAAGGTAAACACGGGGTCCGCTCCGTACTTCTTGATGGCCTCGCCAGCTGCGGTCTGCACATGTCGGGCCAAACGCTCCCGGCAGTAGTGGCTCAGCAGCGCCTGTAATGATATGTGGCCCCAATGGGACCCGTGAGAGCTGGAAGTGCCACCGTTTAGAACTTTGGGTCGCATCTTCCTTTAAGTGAGGGGTGGGGAACATTTTCCTTCGCGAGGGCTGAAATGGGATTGTAATTATGTGGACCACCCAAATATGTGGGCCACATATTTACGCTCACATCTCAATTCTAAAGCTAGAAAGTGTTGCTAGATCAACATTATTCTCCTCTAGTACCTGATTAGTGCGGCCAAGATGCTTGCACGATGGAATACGATTGTTTATCAAAGAAAGCCTGAGTAAACATGACTATCTATATCGGGAGGCTCCTACTAAGTTTCCGCATTATGCGATAACGGTTCAGAATCTGAATATTTATTTATACAGGAGCAATCCGATGAGCTTTACAGCTCTTTTGCACAGATATCCTGTAGAGGCGGGTCAGAACGTTACAACAAAAACAATTTAAAAAAACACGATAGGTTACCACGTATAGTCCAAGTCCAGAAAATTTGCGGCTATATATTTATTACACATTTTGCCAAAGTCGGTCGATGACGTTTCGACATTAAATGACCGCGTGACAAATATACATTTTCGGGCAGTTTTGAAGATTGTAAGTGGCAATTTCGAATGAAGCCACGCGGTCCGCGTGACTCGTCATCCCGTCGCCATGGCGACCGTAACCAAGGGAGAGCAGCAGCAGCAGCAACAACAAGGGGCGCGTGACGCGTCATCCCGTCGCCATGGCGACCGTAACCAAGGGAGAGCAGCAGCAGCAGCAGCAACAAGGGGCGCGTGACGCGTCATCCCGTCGCCATGGCGACCGTAACCAAGGGAGAGCAGCAGCAGCAGCAGCAACAAGGGGCGCGTGACCGAATCAAAACGCCAAGCCGCGGCGCCTGCTCCCTTCCGCGCAATATGAAGGCGCACCGACCATCAGTCGTGGCGCGCGCGTGTGTGCTCCCCCACCCACCACCACCACCCTCGCCATCGCAAATATCAAACAACCTCGGGCCCGCTCTCTCTCTCTGTGTCTCTCTCCTCACCACGGCGTTCTCATCCTCGTCCGCCATCGCGCGCCTTCAACCGACGTGACGTCACTTCCCTAGCGTCGACTGTCGCCGTGGCAACGGCCGCCCCCCCGCCCCCCCCCCTGTCTCCGCGGCGACGTCGGGCATTAGCCCCGCCCCGCAAACGACGTCACGAGAACCCCCTGCTCCGCGATGACGTCACAGAGGTCCTGGTTCGACGTCACTTGTCTGCGGGTCTGAAAACAAAAACCACTGCCGGCCATGCAGAAGGTTGCCGTCCTTCTCTGGCGCAGGGCGATCAGTTTCAAAGGCGATGCATATACAATCACAGCATGTTTGTTTGCACGTTGTGCCACGAGTATGTGTGTGTGGTAAGGGGCCGTCCATAAATTACGTCACGCGATTTTGGACGAGTTTTGATCCCGCCCCTCGTCACGCGGCGTCACAATAAGTCAGACCCCCCCCCTCTCAAATATGACGTCACAAAGATCTGCCCCCCCCCCCCCAAAAAAAAAAGATGCTTCAAATCGCTTTAAACTATTGTCATTGTAGTGCGTATTTAATGCGGCGCTGCACTCTGATGTAGGAGAAAACATTTATTTAAAAGTCTATTTAATTAAGTGGAACGTGTTGTCTATATTTATTTAAAGTTGCGCATTTTGATGTGACGTCACATTTCTCCCCCCCCCCTCGTCACACATCGTCACAATTGTCTGAACCCCCCCCCCCCCCCCAGGTGCGTGACGTAATTTATGGCCGGCCCCTATCTCCATTAATACATATTTTGATTGTTGGGAACGGATCGTCCGTGATTTCTTCCCACACGCACACGTCTCCACCACCGAGGGAATAGCCGATTCCACAATCGATTCCAATTCCAGAATATATTCCGTTTCCGAATATTTCTTAAAAAGCCATTCCCTGCGAAAAACAAGAAACTATTCCGAAATTTGACGTACGCGGAATCAGGAACCGATTCCTCTGGGATCGACTCCCCATCCCGACCGTGTCACGGCCGCACGTGGCGTTCTGCTGGGGTTGGTGATGAGTCCCCCCAAAAAACCGAAACCCTTCCACGGTGGTCCATCCACGTATCACTGCCGCCTGGGACCACGATGCAGAGCCGGCCCTAGACCTTTGAGGGCCCGAAGCAAAATTTGGTTGGAGGACCCTTTGATGTATGAATTTTTTCACCCACTAGCTCGCAGTGACTCTAGGGGGCCATCTGCTGGCCACGGGGCCCTTTGCAATTGCAAGGGTCGCTTAGTGGCTGGGCCGGCTCTTGCCACGATGCAGTTGTTTCGGAACTGCTGATTGTTGTCGCACGACGCACGGTGCTTTTCACACGTTTTTGTGTAGCGTTTAAAAATAATAATTGACCTGCGCTATTGGAGGACAGTATTCCGTGTTGTACCCGTCATTTACAGATTTGATTTGGCAAACACATCGCAAACACCGGTTATCGATTTTCGCGCATGCCTACAGCAACATACTTAGAAGAGCAATTGTAGAGCTTCGCTTATGCCTTTTAACTAGGAAACGAGTACAAATGTACCACGCGGCAAATTAAACCGAAGTGTTGTTTATACGTTCGCCACGACTTTGGAACCAGTAGTCGATTCTAGATTTGAAACGTTCGTGACTGCAAGGATTCATACAGTAGTCGATTATAAAGAAAAAAACTGTTACCGGTTGTTTAAAACGCCTTCGTGTGTGACCGAAATATCAGGAATACAGTACTGAATTTTACAACAATATAAAACGACGTGAGAATCTGATGCACAATTGCTGGGCTGCAGGAGTAAGACTTGATTTCCCAGCGACAGGCATTTTCTAGACCCTAGAGGGAAGCTGAACACAGTTGATCCCTAACAACAATAATATTGTAATGTGATTTGTCCAAGAGAGTTTCGATAGGATGTTTGTACAATTCCATTGTGTTTTGCAAGCAAGAACATAATCTTGAAAAAAAGAACACAAGTTCGCAGAAATGTTAAAGCACCTGTACTGCCATCTCGTGGCCATCTCGTAGCCATGCATGCTTTGAAATGGTACTCAAATCGGTTTTATTAGGTCACGTGGACGGCTATATCGGCCTTTATTAGGCACAAAACCATTGAACTGAAAAGTCGATGCACGTGCAATTACATACCCTTGACATGTCACATCAAAAGTAAAAATAGGTACATCAAAAGTAAAAATAGGTACATCTCAGGAAAGATGATGCTCACCAAGGGTAATCATGTTTTCTGAAAATTGAACTGGGGAAATAAAGGCATACACAACCATGTAAAATGTATAGACCTCGAATTTTGTCGTAACTAATGATGCAGAAATGATAACTTTAACAAATGCAGCTCTAAAGTTCAACTTTAAATGATTGCTTATTAGATTTGAAGTTTTCGTGACTGCTTATTACCTATCAGTGGTTGAAATTAAAATTAAGTCCTCGTATGCAACCTTTTTTTACTGCAGCCCATATCACTGCTTTTTTTACCGTTTGAGGATACATTGTAGTCCTGTATTGTTTCTTGCAATTACACCAAGGCCAAGAGGGGAACACATAGTTCAGAGAATAAACATTAATCAGAAACGGCAAATTCACATTTGAGGAAAGTGGGTTTGGGCAGGACATCTCGAGAAAGGATTATGGCCAATTAATAAGATAGGTGATGGAATGGCAGTCAAAGGAGAGACAGGCCAAGCTGATGACCACTGTGGAGATGGGGTGATCGGATGAGTTCATGTGTAGGAGGTAGATGGAGAGGTATCGCAAGACCACGAGGGCTAGCAATGGCATGGGCAGGGTATGGACAATGCTCACACAACTCCAACATTCAGCAGACATTACCATGCAAAAGGAAATGTATAACAAATATTATGCAGCTGTTTTAATACAGGCAGTGATGTGCTGCACATTACAAGCATTATCTACATTATCAGCAAGGTACAGTATATTACAGATAATTAAAAAATAAACACAATGTACTTCACAAGAGGTAACCTGTGCAATGTTCAGTCTTATAAGCCATGCTTAAATGCAGGACATATGCTAAGACAGCAGGTGAATTACCTATGTACAGTGACAACTGTTGAATAAAATTCACAAACATGGACCCAACTGACCATGGCTGAAATACGGAAACAAAATTGGACTGAGGGTTTGACGAAACATTTCTTCAACGTGTCTCAGGTATCAATTGTATAAGGTTGACAAATGTCTATGAAACATTAAAGTGTACACGGATACACAGCTACATTTTTCATTTTGATCATTTAAGGGGAAGGTTTTACAAGGGTTTTCAATCTAATCCTGATAAATACTGGCCTACTTTGCAGATAAGAGAGATTCTGTAGGTAAACAGAGGAATTTTTTTTTCATAACTGCCATTCCCAAAAAAGGCAGTAGCACACATTACAAATCTGAAGAAAAAAATCATACAAAAACCAATATTGCTTCACTTTTAAAACACAAGGGCTGTGGCACTGTATTTTGAAAATGCAAGTATGCATGCACAAATGGACTGGGTAGTTCTTTATGTTGGTCTTAATGTTACTGTGCAGACATCTCAGAGCAATTACCATCAGGACACATGAAACACAACCAAATATGAGGAACTGGCTCTATTTGTGCTCATTATATATCAAGTGCATAATATACATTGCAAAATATAGTTTAAGTCAAATTATAATGGCTAATTTACATTTTGAGGTTGAACTCAATATATATTTTCTGAAAACTGCATTCATAAGTACGGCACTGTTATACATATTTTTCAATGCATATTTCCTTTAATGTACAGTTTAAAATACATCTCTGCACAAACATCAGAGGAAAAGGCCACCCACCTCCCCCACGGATTAAGTGGGTCTACAACGTTTAATCTTCCAACCATGACTAACCAACACGTATTAAGATATGGTTGTTTGGAATGCCTTGTAACAAATAGGTCCTGTCTGTGCCAGCTTTGAGAAGTTTCAAAAGGCTCCTCCAAGGCTGCTCAAGGAAACTTCTGTCGGTAGTGGAGTGTCAGGTCCCCTCCACTCTTCCAGATGAAATGCTTTACTGTCCTGAGATCCATGTTTGGATCAAGGACCTTGCACATAAAACAATCAGAGGCATATGCATGCTATTATTAGTACAATAATTTGTCGCTAGTTACCTTTGAAATAAGGCACATCATGTACTGATACAACACATGTTTTTCTCAATAAATTGCTCATTTGAAAGAAAATATAACGTAAGATTTTCCACGTGAGAAAACATGCAGATGTAAAATGTAGTGTAAATCCAAATGCATATTAGGACTTGCCTTGCACGCTTATGGTACATTAAAAGGACATAACAGACATATGGTTAAAAACTTAAAGCCATCAGATTGTTGCATAGTGATGCAAAATGGCTTATTTTCCTTACAACAGCCCCTCAACTGCTTGTAGAAATGCCGTTTTTGCAGCTCTACTTCTGTGCAGGCTTACCTGATCTTGGCAGAGGAGCTCGATTTTTTCTTCGGCCAAAGCAGCAATGTCTTCCTCCTTGTCCATCTCCCGAGTTTTGTCATTGTTGGGCGAGTTTGGGGTCTGCGACTCTGTCTCGGCATTGATTATTTTCTCGTAGACGTGCTCCATGACCTTGCGCACCTGAAGCATGTCGCTGGCTGAGAGGCGATCCCTACAATAAAGGCAGATAATCACAACTTGCGCGGTTGCCCCTTGGTTCAGGGTCAAAATAAGTTCATTCAACAACCCGAATGCAAATTCTTGTAAAATAACCTTACATTGTAAAAGCAAATTCCCGTCGGATCATACTTACTTCTTTAATGTTTTAGCTCCAGAGTTCGAGTGAGGTTGAAGGTAGAAGGGTATTTTGTTGAATTTTGGCATATTTTTCTGTAAAAGAGGTATAGGCAAAATGAATAAAAAACAAAGATAAATTGACAAAATGTTCAACCATTTTCATACACTGTTTTGGAAATGATCAAACAAATTGCAGGAATATGCATTGAACCCAATAGCTTACTTACATCCACAGCCACATCAACCACCCACTGAGGCACAGTCTCATTCAACAGCACAGACTCTGTTTCTCCACCAGCATCTCTGCACAGAAGCCTGAGACAATAATTGGCAACTCATAAAGACAATATTAGGCATGCAGACTTTGTACCAGGTAGATACCTGACAATACAATAATTTTCATATAAATGTTAATCTTGTTAAGAATGTACTTGTGACAGATCTGTTTGGTTCCACTTACATCATTGTCGACTTTTTTTGTTTAATTAAAACATTAATTGCAGATAAGCACAATTAAAATCGTCTACCTCTGTAAATCTCTATTGCATTCATGCTTCCACACAGGAAATTATCATGGAGGTCTAATGTGTATTAGTAAAGGAAAACCTCAAAAGTCAAACTTGCATAATCAGGAATTTGAGGTAAACCAGAAAGGCTCCTCTTAAGTAAAAGGGAGTACAAGCCAAGAATCTCTGCCAGAATACTGTTCTTCGAGCACTCTTATTTTCAAATTTATTTTACAAAAAATCTGTCAGAAAATCTCTCCATCTTTCTACATCTCTTGAGCCTTCTACATCCAGTAAAGCTGAGCCTTTCACCTCTGCTTCACGGTGATAAGTGACTCAGTTTAGAATATCATACATTTTTTACGTCATAAAATTTGTAAACAAAACCGCACAAATTTAGTTAAGCATGAATTAAAAATGTAAGGTGTTAATTACGTGCATGTGTATTTTAAATGTAATATTGCATGTATCTAGTTGAAGTGTGCCGAACATTCCCCACAAACGGAAAGGCTCTCCTCCCACTTAGTTTGGCATCGAGGTTTTTACCGTCGTGTTGTTTTTACCTGAACAGTGTGCGTCCTCCTGCTTCAGTGAATATAACGGGCGTGTGTGGAGGAACTAGAAAGTATCCATTACCCTTTGTCACCACTCTGTTCTCTGGCTCACCATTAACTGCCAAATGGGGAAAAACAATTATCAACAAAATTCAAAAATACGTTTGAACTTCAAGGTGCTAAAAAGTCCAGCCCTTAAATAACACTATACATATTAAAGACATCCAAAGGCCCCTACCAGAACAGATGGTATGAATGTCACAAAGTTTAAAGAATAAAAGGGCAGTTTACCAAATTAATTTCACTAAAGCCACTGGCTGAATGCCAAAGGAAAGAAAACGAGAAATGTAACCCCTTAAAAGTATGATATGGGTTTTTTTTCGTCCGTTTAAAACATCTTCAGTCACCGGGCATTTATTGGCTTTCACAGCAGAAATCACCTTGGCTCATCTCGATGTCATCATCTTCCATTGGCCCCACATGAGTCCGAGGCCAGTGCTCAAGCAGTGCCTGAAGAAGCAGCCCTCCAAAGTTTACTGCAGTAGAGACACACCAGTAGGGGTCAGCATCTTCAATGCCAGTCATCTGCAGATAGGAAATATCTAGATACTTGCGGCGTTGACTTTAATATTAGGTTTTGTCAAGTCCATATGTAAATAAACCAAATATTTTACTCTGCAGGAAATATGCTTTTCACATTTTAATTGATATTGTGTACATTTAAATTTTGTATATAAACACAATACATTAAAAAGACAAAACTAATGTATACATGCCAGTGTGGCTGTTTATTGCTTTAATTGTTCATGATAAATTATAATTGTGTTTATCAAAAAAAATCACAGTGCAGTGCAAACATTTATTATGGACTATGTGGTCAATCTTGTTGCCTTTATTTTGCACCACCTTGCTAGCTCCCACTTACACTTAGGGTCAGCGCCATCCTGGCTGGCAAAGCCAGCATCCTTAGCAGAGACCCAGGCGGCAAAACAGTCATTTTCCTCCAAGGTAATAGTCAGCATCTGGTAAAAGTCAATGATGGATGTATATGTAGTAATATGCAATTTAATTCATACCCAACAGCCATGGTTAAAGTATAATGTGAGCAGGCTTGCAATTAACAAAGTATGCTAAATTAATTGAGCATTAAAAAAATGATGCTGTTCAATCTCACCCCAATCTTTAGGTCAACTGAGAACCAATTTGGCACATACAGCATCCTAAATCGCTTCTTTATTTCCTCATCAAAATCCATTGTGCCCAAGTCTTCCACTTTACATGCCTATTGGACGAAAGCACAGGTCAGCATAGTAATGACACTTTACTGCGACTGTAATGTGTCACTCTGTTGAACAACCCACCTTAAGAACATCCCAATATGCTACATGATTGTTGGTGTCCTTTGTCAAGATGTGCCTCTTGTCATTTAGAATGTTGTATTGAATGATGCTTGCACCACCTGCAAATAAGAATCTTTAAGCTCATGTGTCATGCATATTTTAGGCAGGACAAACATTCAATAATACCAGGACAATGATGTACCATAAACAAATGTTGGATGATAACAGTATGAAAGACCACTGAAAATAGGCTTATGAAAATGCCTCACCTTTGATTACTTGCTCTGGCTGTGTACATAATGGTGTGATGGAGCCAGCACAGTCATTATCGTAATCTCCCGACATCCGGAAATTGTGACCCTTTAGAGACTGCAATCACAAGAAAAGCAATGGCTTACATCACAAACAAGCCCACATAAATATTACTATTTACAAAAACATGCAGCTTCTTACCCATTTATTGACGGAAGACTGTGTTGTTGCAACCCAAATAGCTGGAGGAGGATCTGCCGATCTGTCGAGCTCCAACTGTTAAAAATAAACAATAAAAAAAATATTATGCACGCGATTACTTATTTTAAACTCCATTTCGTGTAATACAAGACACAAATATGAATATAAATGAGCATATTATAAACATAACAAAACATTATTTAAATTAAAACTACATTCATGTTTAAATTACTTAATTGTGGCTGTTTTCAAGGTATAATTGTGCACATCTAATGGATGTGAGAGCCCAGGTCCGAACCTTCAACACAGGTGCCTTCTCCTCGCAGATGAGCACTCGTATGTCGGGGTTGCGCAGGTCAGTACAGTAAACCTTGCGGTCACGTCCACCCGAATACACTTGAGTGAAGGTGTCGTTCACCTGCAGTGCCCACACGCCCTCATCGTGCACGCGATACGTCGCGATGCAGCGCTGCTGGCCCAGCGACCACAGCCGGATAGTGCCGTCGGAGCTGCCTGATAAGCACTGCAAGGCATATCATCATAATGTAGTAGAGAGAAAAACGATGGTACAAGGTTTTAATGAATAAAGACAAAATATATCCATGTAATGGCACTGGGTCATTACTGACATAAATTTCAGGGCGTCCTCCAAAAAGCCTGGTCCCGAATATCGAGTGTGTTTTGATGGTATCAGATGTTTTAAATTTGGTTTTTCCGCTAATAATTTTTTGGGTTGTACTATACCACTCGACAAAGTAAAATACTTTATTCCTTGCATAAATGGCACTCACAAATTGAATATAGTTGATAAAAAATGCCATAAATAACAAAACTGCTCTATCATGCAGTTTTCAATAAATGTGTATATAAAAACATGCACATCAATTATCATAACATAAGAGGGTACTTGAATCCTCCAAAACAGAAACTATCAGATCACTTTACCTGTGTTCCATCTCTGTTCAGTAGTAGTGCCTTGACATTGTCAGTGTGGCCCTTCAGTTTCATAAGCTTTGCACATGTTCGTGGATCCCAGACACGCAAAACCTGTAAATGAATGAAGATTTCTCATGAATAGCAACGTTCATATTTTACAACAGAATAAAAGAATCCAGTTTATATAGTGCACATAAATTAACCTTTTCTGTTGATCCTGATACAATGATGGTTCCCATCTGGTTCATGGCCAAACTATAGATAGAATCTTTGTTTCCGCTTAAAGAAGATGCTGTAAAAAAGTAAATGCCAGAGCCATTTAGAACAAAAAAAGAATACACGCAATTAACATACATTCAACATCCAGCATGGGAGCAGGTAGAAATGAACATTATTCAAAGAGATGTCACTCTTAACTTGCATTACAATGCATATAGCTCTGACTTACTAGTAACTGTGTTGTTGGAAGCTGTTAAAGCTGTTAATGTGTTCACATCCCAGAGGAAGATCTGCCTGTCCAGACCAGCAGATGCCACTTGCTCTTTATCTTTAGCATAAGCCAGTGCTTTGACATAATCCTGAAAAAAACAATTGCTGAATTAAACGTAGATATGTATTACTCTTGCAAATTAGTTTGTGATCTACGTAACGCATACATGATCCGATTATTCTATTCTGACACATGCAATGACGACTAAGAATAAAACACTAAGTAGATTAATCACTGTATGCAAATATAAGCTGCTTCATATTGTTTGGTTCTTTCGGTAAAGTCACGTAGGTATAAAATAAAATAGATCACGACGTTTCGGGCGCAACACAAGCGTCCGTCATCAGGTGGGAAAGCATGGTCTGCTGCTGATGCAGACTGTTTTAAAAGGTTTGAAATGGGTGTAGCCCAAGGGTCATAAAGAAGTGGCTGGGTCTAGTGATGTTAATGTGATGTCGTGATCTATTTTATTTTATACCTACGTGACTTAACCGAAAAAAACAAAGAGTATGGATTCCTGCAGTCACGAAAGCTTCAAATCAAGCGGCTTTAAAAATATATTGAACATGCAGTACCTTGTGAGTCCTTAAAGTGGACATACAGAAGCCTTTGTGTGCATTCCACACCTTTACAGTTGTGTCTGATGATGCAGATATTACTGTAATAGAACAAAAGGAAATGTGTTCTTTAATGTTACTGAAGAAACAATGTTTGTAAAAAAATATATAAAAGAAAAAAAATCAATAATAGCTTTTATCTATTTAGGCCAGACACTTACATGTTCTTCCATTACAGCAGAGCACAACATCATTGACCCAGTCTGTGTGGTGCTCCATTGAGGCAATGAAGGGATCTTGCTGTGGAATAAAAATACAAACAAGTTGAGACCCATTGATAAGCCTCGCACAAGAACAGTGTGGACTAGTTACACACAACCCTCAGTGTAAAACATTCCACGTCAAGTTAAACGCTGATTCGGTTCATTTGGCTTGGTACCAGGCAGCAACTCGCCAAGGTTCAGTGTCACTTGGGGGGGCACAGACATCCCGCTGTCCTCTGATGTCAAGTCCCTGGGATGTAATCTTGGTCCTGCACTGACATTCTTTCCACATATGCGTCTTGCGGGCAGGTGCTATTGTATGCATGTATGTTGAACTTCTTTCGCACCACTGTTACCAACTCGTCAGCTAAGTACAGTACGCCGTTCATTGACTCTTAATGTGGCTAAGACACTAGTCCGCGCATTCATCACCAGTCGTGTGGACGATTGTGTCTTTCAGCCAGCATCACCCATCTAGTCCACTCCAGTCTGTCCTGAACTTATTCGCACATTTGATGGTGTAGAAGTGGAAATATGACCATATCACACCGACCATCCCACCATGACCTGCACTGGCTGCCAATTAAACAAATGATTAGATACAAGCTATGCACTTCGGTATACAAGCGTCTCCACCAATTCACTGCACGCATTGTCAATCATCGCCATCTTCATTCAGCAGCTCATGGCGACCTGATCATTCTGCGCACTCGAACAGCGAGTTTTGGATCTCGCGGCTTCGCTTCGGGGTCAGCGGTCTGTCGGCCTGGAGCTCTGCTGCTGGATGTTTGAGACTCTTCAGACATTTAATCAGTTCAGTAGAAAATGAAAGAAAGAACTGTTTAATAGAGTAAACTCTTAGGTTTTTTCCGGTAAAGTCACGTAGGTAAAAATACAATTAAAATTAATAAAAGTAATAATAGAAATGTTTAATAGAGCTTACAATGCACATATACTGCACACCCATGATAACCACGGTTATAAGAGTTGCACTTTTATAAATGTACTTACATGGATAAACTGGCCTTAAATGAGTGAAAATGAGCCACTTGCCTTGTGCTGACTGACATTCCATATTCTGACGATGGAGTCCCGCCCAGCTGTAAATAGTCTGTTAAGTGAGTGGTCAAGTTGCAAGGCATTGACGCCACTACGATTGTACCGCTCGACTTCATCCCTGATCACATACGATACCTGTACACATGTAAAGAAAACAGAGTGAGCACAGCAAATCAAGGGAGTAACATCAAATTGATCGTGTAACAGGAACCAAATATGATCTTTTTTTTATTTACTCAAGTATAGGATGTATTTTAAAATGTATTTCAACGTTTGTATCTCTGCATGCCTTTGGACATCGTACCAAGCAACACATTTTTCATAAAACTAAATTAATGTAAGTCCTGTTATCTCGACATCTGGATTGTATACATGAGACATGGCTGTATGAAGAGACTGGGTTCTGGAGATGTATCTCTATACTGGGAAAAAAACCATGGTGCTACATGAGCACAAACGTGGTCATGAAGTAACAGAACCTGGTCCTGGGTAGACCTGGTCCTGGGTAAACCCGATGCTTGGCATATGGCAAACTTTGTTCTTTTGATATCTGAGTAGGCCTAGTACCGAGAACGACTTTACCCTTCACGAATCAGGGATAGATGTAGTTTAAAGGACCTGTTCCTGTTTATATGGGACATTACCTTGGTTATCATGAGTTCTGCTTCCAACCATAACACTGATTATATGGGTTTACTTCCTGGTTCTGGGACCAGCTTTTGCTTCTACCAAGTTCTGTGGAACTTTGGCGCTTGGTTCTGTTTCTATAAAAGTGGATTCATGAGCCATGCACCTAATTCTATGTGTACAGGTCCTCATTCTATGAGTCTAGTTTTCTGATTTCAGCGTTTATGGCACCTATATCAGGTTCTGTGGGATCTATTTTTTTTATTAATCCAGTTTCTAAGGGACCACATATAGGTTCTCCTACCTGGTTTAGGACGAGGCATGGGTTCTCTGTGTGCCTGTCAGGAACTGTGGGGTCAACTTGTGCGTGCTTAATAACTCTTTCCCTCGGACAATAATTTTCGACTCCGAGGTCTTCGGGTTTAGGATCGGGATCTGGTTATATGGCACCATATCCTCTGGGTCAAGGAAAGGGGATTGTTTAGTTTTACTTGTATGCTTTGGATGATTAGTTTGCCTTTCCTTTACCTTGCACTACTATCGTGCTTTTTTGCATTATTCGTTGGTGTAACTTTCTTACCCGCCCCTACTAGACACGTGACAAACAACAAAACGCTTTATAGCTCATCGGATTCCTCCGGCATAAATATTCTGATCGATTCTCTGGGGCTAGATTCCATGTCCCCGTGTTGTCTCGGTCGCCGGCCTGCGGTTTTCGGCCACGGTGCTGGATGTCCATGTCTAAGAAGGGGCCACGCACCCCGCTTCTCCCCCCGGGGCTAATGCATCGCACCCCGCTTCTCCCCCCGGGGCTAACGCACCGCACCCCGCTTCTCCCCCCGGGGCTAACGCACCGCACCCCGCTTCTCCCCCCGGGGCTAACGCACCGCACCCCGCTTCTCCCCCCGGGGCTAACGCATCGCACCCCGGACCTTGCCGAGGGCTTCCCTCTTGGGGCTGCGGATCCAAGCGACCTCCCCCCCCCCCCACCGGGTCGCAACCGGATTGGCCGGCGCCGCGTCACGTGACACTAAACGACCAATGGGCGCCCGACCGCGGTGGGGCGCAGGAGACGCGGGACTCTGGGCCGCGTTTGACGCCTCCCCCCACCCCCCGATACCCAGGCCGGCAAGGAGGTACGCGAGCAGCGCCAAAGAGCCGCGCTTAGACCACACCGCGCTCGCTCGCTCGCCCCGCGCTCGACTCGGCCACTCTCGGAGCCCGCGCCGCCGCCGCAGTTCACCTGAACTTTCCGCCGGGCGGTCGGGTTCTGCCGATGATGCGTCGCCATCTTCCCGTGTTTATGCGCCCTGACGCCACCGCGCACGGAAGTCACGTGGGGGGGGGGGGAGGTCGATGAGGGGCGGGGCGTGATTCACACCTCCCCCGCCCCCGCCTGTTCCGTCACCACGTGACTGGGGAGGGGCGCGATATTCCCCCCTCCCCCCCCCGTTCTGTGACCACGTGATCTGGTAGGGGAGGGGCGCGATATTCCCCCCACCCCCCCCCGTTCTGTGACCACGTGATTTGGTAGGGGCGGGGCGTGGCGCGATCTCCCCCCCCCCGTTCTGTGACCACGTGATTTGGTAGGGGCGGGGCGCGATCTCCCCCCCCCCCCCCGTTCTGTGACCACGTGATTTGGTAGGGGCGGAGCGCGATCTTTCCCCCCCCCCCGTTCTGTGACCACGTGATTTGGTAGGGGCGGGGCTCGATATCCCCCCCCCCGGTTTGTGACCACGTGATCTGGTAGGGGCGGGGCGCGATCTCCCCCCCCCCCGGTTTGTGACCGCGCGGTTGCTAAGGGGCGGGGCCTAACTGAAACCCAACGACAACGGTAAGTGGCGGTGACGTCACAAGGGCGCTTGTGACAGGCTCGGTGCACGTTCACAACAACGAGTGGAGCGCCGGGCGGATAAAATACGGCAAGTTGGCGCAGTGGGGGCCACGGCTGGTGCATCTGCCAGTCATCCCAGTCAACCCATGGCACCTGGGTCTGTCCCGTGAGGGGCCGTCCATAAATGACGTCACGCACCTAGGGGGGGGGGGGTCAGATATTTGTGACGATTTGTGACGAGGGGGGGGGGGTGAGAAATGTGACGTCACATAAAAATGCGCAACTTTAAATCTAGATTGAATTTTAAATAAATAAGGACAACACTTTCTACTTAATTAAATTCTTTTAATACATGTTTTCTCCTACAACGTCAGAGTACAGCGCCGCATTAAATACGCACTCCAATGACAATAGTTTAAAGTGATTTGAAGCAAGTTTTATTTGGGGGGGGGGGGCAGAGCTTTGTGACGTCATATTTGAGGGGAGTCTTTTTGTGACGCCGTGTGACGAGGGAGGGGGGGGGGCAAAAATCGCCAAAAATCGCGTGACGTCATTTATGTGTTGCCTCCAAGTTCAAGTGTGTGCCTCCGTAGAACCCACTGCATATTTAACAATTCTATATAATACTGGTAGGAACCGCCAGGTTACACCAGCCCACAGGGGATTATTGTGTCCGTCGTGCAGGGAGGGGCTAGGTGGGGAGGGAGAGGCAGGGTGGGGAGGGTGAGGAGGGGCAGGGTGGGGAGGGGCTGGGTGGGGAGGGTGGGGCTGGGTGGGGGGTGGGAGGGGTGGGGCTGGGTGGGGAGGGGCTGGTCACCCCGTGGTGCCCTTATAAAACTCAACGTTTAACCTACTCACGCCGGCTTGTGCCCGCCTTCACAGTCGGGCATATTTGCGGAATACACCACGCCGCCGTTGACCCTGGCCATTGACCGAGCAACCCGACGTTCCTACCAGCTCCCTCCGCAGGAATGTGTTACAACAAGTTATGCAAACACTACTTTCTGCCACATCTTGCTTGTGTACCACATTGACATCTACACCATCTATTTAAGGCTGAAGGACATCTTCACAATTCGGACAACTGCGCGAGGATGCTGGTTGCAACTACCAGAGAAAAGTCGTACGGAACCCAATTGTGGATTGCTCCCAACATCCCGACACGCTGAAGCAGTAATACATTGACACATTTGTTCACTTGACAACTTTATTCATTGGTTGTCAGGTGGAGGAGGGTATACGACAAACATTTTGCTGACGAGATCTGACCCAAATTCTATTATGAATATTGGTTGCGAAGCCAATGTGCTATTACCAGTATACGTTGTTTCTAAAACTGGGTATCAAGCAGTGGCTCATGATAAATCTAGTTTTAATTTGTGCTTGAACACCACTGCTAATGCATCCCAATAACGTTTTGTTTGACGTTAATGCAGTAACATCATTTAGAACATACATTTGGATATTTTACCGATTTGTGCAGACATACAGAGTATTTGGGGATTTAACTACTTAAACTGAAGAAGCCATGGTTTTTATATAACAGTACAAAAAGGAAATACCTGTAGTGCAGATGCTCCAGATCCCTCAGCTTCAGCTCAACTCTCAGCTCTGGAGGTTTCCAATGACCTCAGCCTCAGCTCAGCTCCGGCTACAGCAGAGGTCGCAAACGGGTTTTGATTCCTTACCTATACCCGGTCGCACCAGGGTCGTAAATGGGTACCCGTACCCGGCCGGGTATGGGTAGCCGTTCCCTACCCGAAATGAGTGACAAACGGTTACTCACCAGTGACTCACGGCCTACCCGTACCCGGCCGCACCAGGGTCGCAAACGGCTACCCGTACCCGGCCGGGTACGGGTTGTCGGGTATCGGGTAGGGTACGGTTATCGGGTACCCGATTGCGACCTCTGGGCTACAGTGACCCCAAATCCAACTCGGCTCCGGCTCCAATGAGGCCAGCTCGATTGATTTTGGCTTCGGAGCACAACATAGACAACTGCCATGCTCTGCTCTGGGGCCTCAAAATCTTCCTGAGCTCTGGAGCCGGAGCCTCACCAACCATAATTCAGACTATGTACAGGTGCAGTGGTACAGCATAAAATAAAAAGGCAGATGTTTTTTTCCTGAATGCAGTGTTTATTGTAACAGTATAATCTATTAATGCACTTACAAGTAGGGCCTCTTGAACGTGTACTATAGTTACCATATTCCTCAACATTGAAATGACTACATGTGCAATAATTGTGATTTAAAATATACGATTGTATTTGAGATATTTGGTTTTGACCATGAATAGAATCGCAATGGAATACTGCATCACTGAAGCAACACAAAGTACTGTACATAACGTGCAAAATAAATACATTATTAAATTACTTGAGTGGAATCCAACATACTCATACACCCACTTAATTATATTAACTGTTTTATGTTTACTGTTTTAATCATATCTCTACAAATTAGACACTGTCAGATGCTAGGAACCTTTTAAAACAAATCGATAAATTACATCACACTCATTTGAAATTGAATAAGTCATGTAAAGTTGGTGTAAAGTATTTCAATACTTTTCAGTTTAATGTTTTTGAAAATCAAAGATTTGCCTGGAACTCGATATTAAATCATAGCGCAAACAGTCCTGGAAATATACCGTTAAATATTATAGGCAGTACGTCAAAGCATAGCATACATTGTAATGGTCAAAAATACACCACTAACTACAACATTAGGTAGGAAAGAAAAAAAAGCGAGTACTTTTCTATTGAGGACTATAGCACTGTACACTAATTTATTGACGAAGCAATCCTCATGTCCACAACCCAGCCACAGTGCTGCTGGGGAAGGTGACATTGTGGCCGTGCAGGGTGGTGACGTTTAGCGATGTGCAGTAGAACATCTCCTGGCCATGTGTGCAGGTCTGTTGGTGCAGCAGGGCCATGACCAGCCCCACTCCCATGATAGCCATCCCGCATAGCAGCAGGACGGCTGACAGCAAGCGGTTTGGGTTGTACCACGGCTCGGATGAAAGGCGCAGGTAGCACGCCGCGGGCAGAATGAAGACCAGTGGCGAGGCACACAGCACGCCCTGTCCACGTGGGCAAATGTCAGGCGCTTGGTCATGGCGATATGCCGTACAGCTCCATATGCAAATGCAGGGCGTCCCAAACCCATGTCCTCATGACCCATCATGGTCTGGCTCTCTCGTTTAATAAAATATCCACTCAGATGCAATTAACGTATTACGTCATACCTGTCTAATTGTTGGCAAGTATGCAAATCTGGACCTCAGTAGCTTATGAAGAGTGCAGTTAGGGAAACCTTTAGTTAATGTGTATCAGTAAGTCATAGTTATGAAACTGGATTTTATGGTCTGCCATTTTATTGAAAAGTGTGTGGCCGAGTCCAATGTTGCACCAATTAGCTAAACTTTTAAATGTGCTTCTCGCCATGAATGGTCCCATTTTACAGTACTGTAAAACCACTTGTATCTATGACCCTATTACCCAAAACTCCTGTAAGCAGAGCTGTGTGGTCTGCAAAAACTATCTGTGCCACCATTCTTCAAAATATCCAGGTTTATCTGTGATTTGCTCATGTATAAGTGGAGTAATTTGTAGAGAACAGCCCAGATAATATGATCCGCAATGTTCATCCCCAACATAACTGAGTTTGTTTTCTGCGTATTGTATTTGTTAAACCTCACATTGAGCTCCAGCACAATGCCCAAGCAGTCTGTCGAGATGGAGGCAGCCATGGCCGCTGCCACAATCACCACCGTGACGATCGTGTGTCGTACGCGGCTCCACGGGGCCGATGCAAAGAACACGTTCTCAAACACCTGGGGAAAGTCACACATTATCCATCCCTGCCTGGCACTGCAGCACGAACTGCGAGTTCCAAAGTAGTGCATGTATCTGAGGCACCACTGGTGGTTACATGGTTCTCTTTTGAATACAATGTGAAGTCAAACAGTGCAAGTAATCTCCCAGCTCAATTCCCATGGTGGAAATTTCGCAAAGAGTATGTGTGGGTTGGTCAATCCATAGGACACAACCACTGTTGACTTCCCACAATGTGATACTTATTTCATTGACCTAATATGCAAGAAAGATGGTTGGCAAAATTGACTTCCAACCAACATTTGGATTCGCCACCGCCTGGTCGTGAGTAAAGTACTCTGTCGCAGCAGTGCCTGGGTTATGTATAACGTCATCATCTATACCTGTCTTAATATTGAGTTTCTGCAGAGAATCACATCTACACATAAACAGCACATTTTGTCAATCCTCTGCTGGGCGAGGGTCTCCCCAAGCCTTCTGGACAGTGAGGGTTATTTGGCCATAATTCACCACGCTGGTCAATGTGGGTTTGTGATGGTGGAGGGAGCGCAGCGCAATGGACGTTGCTACTGTGTCCTCCTGCTGACAGCATCTATTTACACGTCTTTTGATCATGGTCGTGCTTCTGAGATCTGACAAGATCATGTACATTATGAGTGATTTGACATAGGCTTAAATGTGTAAGTGATTTTATTTATAGCTAAGTAAGCAGAAGTGGGTTTGCTCACTTTCTATCAGCTTGTGTGACACTACAGAAGGCAAATTACTGGGCTAATTGACTATGGGGATCATATATATAAATATTTAGCATGAGCTTAAAAAAATATAGAACTTGAGGCTGGCTGTGCCCTGTGAATGCAATCAATCAATCTCCAGGCCATAATTTTCGGGCTCTGCTTTAAATCATCTTGATTTTGGATTTTTCTAGCTAAATACATTGACTTGACAACTGTTTATTTGTGCTACAGTCCATCTTTCCATTAATGTGAGAACACAATTAGAATTCACAAGAGGAACTCACCAAATCACGAATGTCTATATGTTTCAGATGCTGTACAACAGCAAGTGTGTTATGTGTGCAAAGATATGGATGTGAAAAGCTCACCTCTCTGGTAACAAAACACTCAATGGGAAATGTGAGTAGTATGCTCAGCGCGTAGCAGAAGCGGCCTGCTGTAACCAGGTCATCGTTTTTGCAGTAATTCTCGAAAATATCTCCTGTGGATGAAATGGGAGGGCAAAAGCATACAATTTAGTAACGGTTTTCCTCTGGGAATAAAAATCTATTCAAAATGCTGCCTATTGAATTCTCATTTCTGGCACTTGACGTATAAAATGATTTAAACTGAATTAGTTCTGGCAGAGGGTAAAAGCCTTTGTAAGGTTTGCTGTCCATGATAACGTCTTGATCATGTTTCATTAGTTAAACAACTATAAATAAATACTCTCAATGGATTATACCATTTAATAGTAATCATAGTATGCGGTACTCCATGCCGAATTTAACATGTAAAATACGTTACCATGTTTCCTAGTTGCATTTTGTATATGTTAAGTTATAAGATGAAATTAAATATCAATAAAACAATGTGTCTGTTATCCTGCCTCAACACAGCAGTCGTCTGCTTCTTAATTGCACCTTCGTGACTAATTTAATAAACAAAAAATTGTGTTTCTGAGCCAGCGGCTGTTGTAAATACCCAGCAGGAACATGTATCAATGTTGAAAGCTTTTAAGCAAAGTGTCTCTTTTGTGAAGCTCTGCCACTGAGTGCTTGGAATATAATTCTCTGTGTGGCCTACTTGCCCGCACCCATATCTTGTATTTCAAAAGAATAATTGAATGTAAAGTACAGAGCCCGAGAGTGGCACTAACACAACTGGTAGGTGTTCTCCAGTTTTCCGCCGTGTGCTGGTGATGATTTGCTGCGATATCACGTTTGCGGCCGTTATGTTCACAATATCACCATTATCGTGATTAGTTTCCACAACTAAATAATTGTATTTCACAATTTTCGGATTGTTGTGCTTTGCCGTGCGTCCAGTCCTTCAACTGCAGTTCACACAACATAAGCCTGCCTGCCATACGAGCTGTAATCAGAGACTTTACTTTATATGCATTATGTCTAGAACGCACATGCTGTTATTTACACAGAATTGCGAAACAATTAATTTAACTATGACGTCATATAACGACCGTGCCGCCAATTGCACCCAAACATATTTAGCAAAACAATGGGTCATATTTATGTATTTATTTACTGTGCTTTTATTTTTGTAACAGGATTTCAAAAATACACCTGTAAGTTAATCAAATATGAAAACGGAAATAATTCAACGATAATAATCACGATGTCACGCTAATTTGTAAAGCGGACAATACGGTTTTGTGGACCTTATACGGTATATTGTAGAATCTCTAGAGCTCCCCTCCCTCCACTGGAGGCCCTTCCATCAGCAGTTTGCGTGAGTAAGGAATTGCAGTGCTGCACATTTACATGTCACCTTTTAAAATTCACATTTCCGATTTAGATTGACTATAATAACAATAAAAATGGTATAATAATGTTGTTTTGCTTGAGACCACGTAAATATAGTTCGATATACAGTATATGGATGATATTAACACGTAGGCATTCGCGACCAATATCCATAATACAGTTTTTTTGGGTTAGATCACGTAAATATATAAATGTGTCGTTAAACCCGCCACCACCCGACACAGCCAATTAGTAAGGTTTGCCACGTAAACAGAACACGCCAAATCGTTACCAGTACAGCACACCGGTGTGTTGGAGAGAAAAGTAATTACAACTATCTTCATCAGGCGACAGCCATATCTGGCTGTCACATGATTAAGCTAGTTGGATATTGGTCACTAAATCTGGCTGTCGCCTGATGAAGCTATTTGTAATTACTGGCGAAACGTCGTATTAAGATTGTAAATGTTGCGGCTTTGCTCTCCAACACACCGGTGTGCTATGGTATAAACATAAAAATAGACAAAATACTGTAAAAAGTTACTGGATTTACTGTGCCGTACTTACCACTCCAAATCTCAAAGACTATGCATAGGGTGATGTACGTACTACGCTCTTATTTAAACAACTTGATGTGTTTGACTGGTGCTTGGGCGAATGCAGAATTACACGAATTTTTAGCCGGATCTCACTTTATATTTTCTGTTTTTATTACTGTAGTTATTAGTCATGAAAAATGTATATAGTGCTGTATTTTCATGAAGTTGTATGTAGTGTATATTGTACTCTATATATTTAACACTGAATCAAGCATAGCTACTTTTATCACGCACATTGTGCCGATCACCAGACTGGTTACAGCCTTTGGAGCGGTTTTACCGGTTTCGCCAGATTGGTTTGGGACTGCCCGATAATATTGGAAGCAACCGGATGATCGCGCGCTGGATAATCGATGATCAACTGTAGCTCTTTTCAGAAGCGACCTGGCCACAAATGATAGCAACAGTGGCTTATCATGTGCAAATTTATAACACCCAAATACTCTAAAAGGCTTGTTTCTAAATGTGGAGGGAAAACCCGAAAAACCCGGAGAAAAATCCAGACGACCACGAGGACAACATGTAACTCCAATATACAGGCATCAGGGTCGGGGGTGCCAAAGTGGTGAGGTGCCGCCACAGTGGCGAGATATTAACGACCTCGCCTGGTATACAGGAGGCCGTGGGTTCGATCCCGACCCTGATTTGGAGTTTGCATGTTTTTCCTGTGGTCGTGTGGATTTTTCTTCGGGTCCTCCAGTTTTTCCCGCCACATTTAGAAACATGCGGTTAGAGTATTTGGCTGCTATACATTTCCACATGATCAGCCACTTTGTTCAGCTATCATTTGTGGTCAGGTTACTTTTGAAAAAGAGCTATACAGCTCAGTGGGCTTTAACTGATAACATGAAAATAGTTTCATTACATTTTTATCTAAAACGTAGTCCAATTATAGACAATGTGTGTTGAGTTTTGTGTTAAATGTGCTGCCAACGCAGCAGCATCACCAAATTATTTATTAGACCGAATCCTGAACTTGGAGGTATAAATGAATGAAGTTCACGCAGGAACCATGGTCGTAGCAACAGAAGAGTGATACACGATAGTATGGCTGTTTCGAGGCAACCCGAGCTGATGAGCGAGGTTAATTGCACAGTACCTTGTGTGAATCCCGTGAACGTGGCATAGCCACACGCCGCGAGGATAAGGCTGATGATGAGAGCGCTCAGCACCGACACGTGCGTCACGCGGGACCAGTTGCTGAGTGAGGGCTGCTCCAGCGAGCCGTAGATGATGAAAGTGTTGTGGTGGCAAATGAAAGCTAAGTAGGGAATACCATGGAGAATACCACACGGTCATTACTTTCGCCTCTCCCAAGCACATAGCACGGGCAGCAGGTGAAGCGTTGAATGGAATAATGTGCCGTAAAAAGCTATCTCAAAGGGACCAATTCAATAAAGTGCTACCCAAATACTGTAATGCTCTGTACAGGCAATTATTATACTCTCATATACATAGATGGAATTCTTGGGACAATTAAATTCATATGTGCATTATACAGCCCTTTTGTCATTCCACTGCTGGATGAGGGCCTCCCCATGCCGTGTGGGTCGTGGGGTTATTATACCATACTTCACCACGTTGGTCAGTGTAGGCAGGCAGTATAGACATGGAAGCACATAGTTGCAGTACAACATTGTATTCTACGGCACTAATATAGCATCGCAAACATCTATAACACCTGTTTAATGCAGTGGTTACCCATAAAATTACTAAACAAGCTCAAAGCCTGCTTAGCTTCCAAGATATCACGAGATTGGGTGTTTTGTGGGTGATTTGGTCATATGCTCAATGGAGTCCTGTGTAGTGCAATTGTAATTGATATTTTATTATGCTCACAAAATGGACCACGAAGATGATACATTGCATATGTTTTTCAGCTCATATCAAAGTTTACTTGTACTCACCAAAAGCCATGATGCCCACTGCCTGCACCACATTTGGCTGCGCAAAAGTCCAAGCATTCATGGAAGCAGGACTTTAAAAAAAGGCACAGAAACAGCTAGAACTTGCAACTGAGATTGGTAACAAGTCTCGTAATGCACATCACACAGCCAGTAGCAGGGCATGGCACTTGCATTTCTCTTTAGGTTAAATCCATTTCCAACCCACGCATAAATTAATCTGGCACTGCCGCTGTGCACAGCTGTGAACAAATATGCAGTACAGGAAAAGCATTTATGCTGTCAGCATGAATCATTGCATATTATTTTATTTAATGCCATGGCTTACAATTGGGGATGTGGTATTGTGTACAATCTCAACAAAGAGGCGTTTTTGTATAATTATGGTTTTGGAAAAAATCCAGCAATGGTTTTCCATTTACCTTAGCTCGGAGAGATGACAGAAATTGACAATGTACCTCCCAATTTACTTAATAAGCCTAATGGCTTTGTATGCTCTGTTTCGAAGCTATATTCTTTCACTCAACAATCTCGGGATGACGTCAATGTACTTTTTGAGAACACCTCATGTTGACCACAAAATTCACTTATAAAAGCATGGCAAACAATTGATATTTATTGAGCATTCGACTACAACAGGATCTCATAAATCTATATAAATAAAAATGTATGTTCTTTAAGACAGCATGTAATGTAAGTACATTTGCAATTTGCAACTTGAAAATACAGTAATCAAGACTGTCATTGAAGTTAAAACGTTGTCGTATTCGGTGAGTCGTATAGCTTTAAAAACAGAAACGCCTTTTTGAGTGCATTTGGCAATTATGTGTATGAAACAGTAACATGAAAATGTCAGTCACTGGTGCCAGACTTACATTTGTGGTCCCAGTGTGAATGCTCGCACAACCACCACAATTAGGATGAAAAGTGTGAAGAACACTGAAATCAGAGACACCTGTAGAAATATTACACCATTCATGCCCCGAAATATTTATCATCATGATATAAGACAAGTACAGTACTCCGTTATGGATGCATTATGGTGCATTTTATACATTCTGAGCAACAGTTCTGTTTTTATTGTCGTTTTATTGCGTTCTAATTTTTCATATTCAAAATGTGGGCCTATCAATTGATTTTTACGTTTGAGATTTTTGTACATGATTTAGATCACTGAAAATGCTAATACTATAGAAATGTCGTAAATCAAAGAGATTAAGTGTATAAAAACCGTAAATTAATATTTATCAGTTCCACACCATGAAGTAAACAAAGCTACTCCCAGCTCACAACAAACACTTGGATTCAGGGTAGTGTAGCAGAATTATTAATTCATATTTAGAAGACAGACAGGAGGGTGCATTTTTGCACCAGTATATTTATGCATAAATGGGATAAGTGTAAACGTTAACAAGAGAGACTTCAGAGGTGACATGAAAGTGCCTGGCAAGCATTGTGTGAAGGCTATGAGGATCTTGGTGCTGAGCCTGTGTAAGGGGGTAAGGTTGTTGTGAAGCAGTGTTGCAGAGTGCTGTGAGAATACTGGAAAGATGAGTTTGGACATACCCGCGTGAAAGCTCTGATGGCAAGAAATGTATAACATCGCCATGTTTTACAAAATTTTCATTGGATATAAATTAAAGTTAAAGTTTTCTCTTTCTTAAAGGACATTAGCCTGCTGAGAATTGGGCCACTAAAGTGCCATCCTGAGTTGCAAGTGTTGGCGAGTGTGATCAGCGTGGGTGAGTGTCGTTCATACCTTTCCCAACTTGGCCACATCGCGGAAAAGGGACAGTGGCAGGGTGCAAAACACCGAGGTGAGGAAGATTATGAAATATCTGTTTGCCAGGACATGCTCCGCACCCACTGATTCCACAAGAAAGAAAATCGTACATTGATTCAGCTGCATGCAAGAGCCTGCAAGGATTATTTTTCCAGCACACTCTGCAGACTGAAAGTCTGTAAATAACGTTAATTAATGTTATCATATGGAAAGCTACAGTCAAAACCTTGCTTGCATAGATCCGTTTGATTTTGGCAAGTAAACATGTGCTTCACGGTGCTCTGTAATAAATGGCAAAGATATTGATTCAAGCTGCTGTCAATCAAGCGGGCAGAATTGAGGGAATGTAAGCATTCTGCACGCAATAATGTAAGTGCTCTGCACTTAAAATACCACACATGCAGCTTTGGTAACCATAGTTTGCTCTTGTGAAAATTAATTGATCCTGAATGGACTATTGCTGTTAGAACTAAGGTCATTCAGTAATGGATTGACATAAGGACACTTATTTAGGAATACCAACAAGCACACACACACCATTGTTTTACAATGTTCTTAGTAGTAGCATGGCCCAGCTTGCTACACATGCCTATCAAGATGCTTCATGCAATAGATGAGTATGTATGGTCTAAGTGGCAATAATATAAAGCTGTGCTTGTGTATTTTGAAATAAATTAGTGAATCAGTGGCCTTACCTCCTGGAATCCGTTCAAACACCTTTGTTAGTGTATCACCAGTTATGACATTGTAGCTCACCATCGCTGAAAAACATCCATACCAGTTCCGCCTTGACCTCAATTGCATGCAATATCGGTAACAAAAATAAAGATGTACATTGGTAAGGAGTATATAGCCCTAAGGGAGCACAGAATGCTAAATAACACCATTACAACAATAACATTTAGCCAATTATGTTTTTTGCTTCACAGTTTTTATTTATTTTTAATGCATACATGTGGTGCGTGAAAATTATGTGAAAATTAAAAGAGGTACGTTAAATTGTTTCTTGCTGTGGTTGTCCCACCTGATGACGGACGCTTGTGTTGCGCCCGAAACGTCGTGATTTAATTTATTTTATTCCCACGTGACTTTACCGACAGAACCAAAGAGTATAGGTACATTAAATGTACATGAAGCGCGAGAGTATAACATTCTCCAGTAACCCTGTCGCCACTACTGGACTGTGAGCTAGGTTGAAATGTTGAGCAAGCATCTGCACAGGTATTTTGTAATGGAGACATGGGGACATTCTCTTTGGTTCTTTCGGTAAAGTCACGTCGGTAGAAGAAATAATAGATCACGACGTTTCGATCGCCACACAAGCAATCGTCTTCAGGTGGGAGAAAGAAACAGGCTGCTGAAACAAGTCCTTATATATTCTTAGGTTTTTTCGGTAAAGTCACGTAGGTAAAACATCAAAATTAATAAAAATAAAATAAAACAAAAATCACGACGTTTCGGAGGCAACACAAATCTCCGTCATCAGTTGGGACCGTCACAGCCGGATTAGCTGCATCAAGTGAGGCAATGATTCAAGATGTAATCCCTTAACAAGCAAGTTGAGGGGGAGGAGAGGGGGGAGCTAATCAGAATGTGGTAGCCAATGATGCGTTGTACGTTGGCACTCCGTGCCGTCTTTGAGCCCCGCCCCCCCTCCCTCCCGATACGTTCCATTCATTGGCTACCACATTCTGATTAGCTCCCCCCCCCCCTCTCCTCCCCCTCAACTTGCTTGTTAAGGGATTACATCTTGAATCATTGCCTCACTTGATGCAGTTAATCCGGCTGTGACGGTCCCACCTGATGACGGAGACTTGTGTTGCCTCCGAAACGTCGTGATTTTTGTTTTATTTTATTTTTTATTAATTTTGATGTTTTACCTACGTGACTTTACCGAAAAAACCTAAGAATATGAATCCTTGCAGTCACGAAAGCTTCAAATCTAGAAGTCCTTATATATAGAGCCGAGAGGGGGGTTGTCACTTCGGGCAAGAGGGTGGGGGCTAGAGATTGTGCCTCAGGGAGTGGGAAATCCAAAGATGGGAACCAAGATGGGGGGGGGGGGGGGGGGAAAGGGGGGGGGGGGAAAGGGGGGGGGGTTGTGGTTGATGTAAGAACTGAGGAGGTGGCCATTGTATTGTGAGAGATTCGCATGTCAATGTAAACGAGCCAACGCAACGGTGGCTGTGCTAGTGAGACATCCAGCTCGTTAGAAAACGAGGGAAACAAAACGAGGGAAAACACCACATCGAGGGAAGGAGAGAGAGACACACTCCAAGAGGCACACCCACACACGTTTCAGCAGCCTGTTTCTCTCTCCCACCTGAAGACGATTGCTTGTGTGGCGATCGAAACGTCGTGATCTATTATTTCTTCTACCTACGTGACTTTACCCCAAGAACCAAAGAATATGGATTCCTGCAGTCACGAAAGCTTCAAATCAACATGGGGACATGTTCACCAAAAATGTATAAAAACGGACACCCACCAACGTATCTTAGCTTGTGAGTTTTTTTCATCAAAATACAGAATCCCTATAATCCGTGGCAGCTGTAGGGTCTAGAAAAACTCCTATAATTTATGTTCTAGTCGCATTATCTGAAGCTTTTCCATCCAACTTCGTAAGATGGCTTTGTATCTTTGCGAATAAGAGAAGTCTGGCGGCAGATTCATCCTATTATCCATGTTTATCCGCAGAATAGGTGGAGTAAAATTGCAAGTAAAACTGTGGATAACAGGATCCGCAATATTGGTCCCTCGGATCTCCATGGATTAAAAGGAGTTCGGTGTAAGTTAAACAAGCAAGGAACCATACACGATGCAGAGGGGAGTCCTCACCAATGAACGGGTAGGTGAACTGCAGTAGGGACAGCACTATGTAGCCGAAGTAACCAAACGTGCTGTGAACGAGCGATTGGTACGTGGTGGTGCCAGAGAGAGAGCCGGACTTGATGAGCAAGATGATGGAGTAATCTGTACAGAACGGGGGGGGGGGGGGGGGGGGGGGGCACGCGCTTGAGCTGCACATTAAGACACTGACCGTTCCAACGTGCATCACATGATGCATTCTTTGAATTTCAACACAATGGCACGTTGTGTTGCTTTTAACCACTCAGTACAATACAGTTTACTGTTTATAAATATAAAGTGTGTATTATGACCAAGTAACCCACAATGCACCAAATCTTGACAGATCTCAGAAGCTAAGTAAGTTTCAGCCTAGGTCGATAGGGGGATCACCATGCACCAAACAGGGTGTTGCAACCTGTGGGGCCACACAGTCGGCAACATGTATGTTTGTATGTATAACTTATTTTTGTTTGTATGTAGAACCTATTTTGCATGGTATGTAGCCAACCGTGCTAATCAGAGGTATGGGAAAGAAAGGGAAGTCCCGTAGGTGCGGACAGCAGACAGCAGTACAACTTATATATGGCGGTATGTGTGTACATGACCACGCGTTGCACCTGTGACATAGGCCACCACCACGAGAAGCAATAGACCCAGAGGGAATCCCGCCTGCTTCAAGGCATAGGGCAATCCTGCGCACTCAGACGGAACGTGTTGTGTTAATCAATATTGTTATTATTACGATCAAACATGAAATTGGGCCGCAATTTACAGTTCTCTGTTCCGTGACATCTCAGTCTTAATTTAGGCACCAGAGAGTCGCATAGCTAAACAAGTGTTTATTTATATGTATGACGATATATTAAATTATGTTTCAGATAATTTTTTATAGTTTTTAAATTATGTCAATGTAAACTTGAAATCAAAAGTACAGCGTATGCAGCATAATATGTTTGTACTTTAAAGCTCTTTGTCAATGCAATTCTGGATGAAGCCTGCCCATGCTATGTCAGTCATGGGGATTTGTTTGACCTAACTTCACCATGTTGGTCAGAGTGGGTGGGTGAAGGAAGGCTATATTGCTCGCCACTAATGTTGGCGGTGGCCAATAATCCAATGCAGGTCACCAAATTTATAGAACAGTGCACCGACCTGAGTGCCAGTGTAATTAAATAAGTCATGTTCTACCCACTGCTGGATGAACATTTCTCCAGTTCGTTGCCATCCCTCACACATTTTTTTGAGATCTTGGTTTATTAGAGCCTGGGTGACTGCATCAATTTCCTAGTCGATCGCTTTCGATGATCTGCAAAAGCTAAGCATTGAAGTAATTGATATTCATTTCTGTTTTGAAGCATATGACAGTATGTATGTGGACGATGGTAGAACATTTTCCTAAATATAGCTTGCTCCTATGGTTTGTTGGCCTCTAAATAGTTCATTATTCTGTTCCCAACAATCTTTGTAAACAATGAATTTACTTGAGAATGAATGGTTTGCAATTATTCAAGTCAGTCTTCCTTATTTAACATAAAAATGATTGAAACATCTCCCAGGATTGAGGTATTATTTCATGTGAGCTTTTCGTAAAAGGTCCACCAATTTTCTTCCAACAACCAATTCCACTTTTTTGATGATGTTCACATTAGCTTTCTCTTTTTTTCTCGGTGTCATAAAGTGCACAGAGTGTTTGGAACACCACTCACCTATTATACCTGCCCCTATGATGGAGTTAAGGACATTCAGGCTGGCGGAGGGCAGATCACTTGTCCCCCCTCTCGAGTCCTCACCCTCGACCTCTCGAGGGAACAAGGCCTCCCTGTCACTGGCATTGACATCCTGTGGAGACTGAGATATGGCCGTGAGCCCCACACCAGCGTATCAAGGAAATGTAACCGAATGACACATTCTGCACAATTGTACCACAACACTAAATGAAAACTTGACTGATTTAGACATGTCAAGAAAACATATTTGAATGTAGTAGTTTTAACTTAAAATTTCGTAAAGATATAATCAACGTGATTGCCAGTAGAAATGCAGCGGATGTTTTATGTCACACTATGACAAACGGCTTATTTTGTACCCTAATAGCTAAATGATTAAAAAAGCTTTCAAATAATTTTTATACTCTTCATGGGTAATAAATCAACAGTGACAACACAATTGAAATATTGTATTTACTCATGCATTTAGACTTTAATGGTGGCTGTTCAGACCAAGTTAAAACGAAATATACAAATGTCATGATTTGAGTTATACTTTGGAGTCCAATGTCAACTGTATTTTCAGAACCACACCTTCTTGACGAATGGTTTATTTTGAACCATAATAATGATTTTATTTAAAAAAGCTTTCAGGTTTCTTTTTTAGACTTTCAGTGTGCACTAAAGGCACAGTGACAAAGCAATGAAAACAGCGACATTTACTTCTGCGTTTTGAATATTTTATAGCACCCTTTCAGAACAAATCTTTATAAAAATTGCAAAGGTCAGGATTTCAACAACTACAAATATATTGTCTATAAAATGCCACTGCATTTCAAGACTTTTGAAAAATGAAACAAAAAATAGACATTTTCTCTGGCTATTGCGTATCACAAGAAACTGCGTTGTGCATGTTTTTACGAACGAAACGCAGATTTTAAAACGCGTTGAAACTTTGCTTGCATTTTATTTCTTGCCAGTTAAAAGGCCAGTGATAATAACTAATGAGACAAATTACCAATGTTACGTCTGCCGTTTTACAGCACACGGCAGCCCTTCCCTTAAGTCTCTGGGCTCACTATAGCCATGGCAGTCAATGAATGAGCTAATGTAAACAGGCACACGCAGCTGGTCAAACATCCCCATGATTGCATGTCACGCGGCCAGTACTGGTAACCTTTTTGAACAATAACGCAACAAAAGCAGCCGTTCATTTGGCGCAGAGCCGCTAATGCAGGTTACGACAAAACAACTGCATCTGTTTTTGACGCTGGGGGTACTTGTGCCACATTGACAGACCAATTAGGGGGGTTCACAAAATGCATTCATGATCTTGATTTAAAATGGCTATGATGCAACAAAAAAATTGCACAAATGCAGTCAACTCTAAGCATACAAATTTAAATATACAACAACTGGAATTTTAAAATGTAGACCCTCAAATGATGTCCCAGAGTGATAGGTGTCATTCATTAGGCAGCAGCCTAAAGTTCTAAATTGCTTTAAGTCTCCTGTTAGCTCTTAAACGTTTTGTTCACCATAATCAATGTCCCCAATTAATGTCTCCCACAGAGTTTGACGCTGAAAAGGAACACATCCTACTAAGGGTTACCAGCAAATAGAGAGTTCAACATCATGGTATGCAAGGAGCTGTGGATGTGCATCGTGCAATCCTGCAGCTGACATATCAGAGAGTGCTCGACTACTTTAGTTTATCCCTAGATAAAAGTAATATTAAAAAAAAAACTTATTAAAAAACACGCTTTAATGAAATGTACCGTGCTCGTAATGGCAGAACTCCCCGACTCCAGGAAGTGGCCCCGAAGCTTGCCATAACGTAAGGGGACCGTGGTGATTTACAGCCAACGTCGGTTGAACGTGGACAATTAGACCCAAGCCGAAACATAACATATAAAAATGAATGTTTAAAAATACTTTTTTATTATAGAATATGGTATTGTCATCAGTATGACATAAGTATACCAAGTTTGCAGTCGATACCACGTTGGGAAGTGGGTTAAAATTGAGTTATAAAATTTGAGAATACGACAACAACAGAGTGAGTTCATAGAAAGCGTGTGAAAAGATTGTTTAAAAAAAATGTGTTTATTTTTTATGATAGAATATGGTATTGTCACCAGTATGACATAAGTATACCAAGTTTGCAGTCGATACCACATTCGGAAGTGGGTTAAAATTGATTTACAAGATTTGAGGATACAACAGACAGAATGAGTTAAATAAAAGCGTGTAAACAAATGGAACACGAACTGCAGTACGGCACTGCTGGCTTCAAGCATTTTCCGGCATTTCAGATATTAGGGCTATTCCTGAAGCCGTTCACTGACTTACTAATATAGACATGCACATTTAAATGTTACTGATAAACTTTCCACTGAAGAATAAGAATGCAAAATAATACTTAAAATTCTCCATCAAAATAATATGTAAGCTTAAGACATATATACTGTATACACACACTAACTACTGTATACAAAAATCATAGTTGAAAACTAGATTATCTGTACTTAGCTGCTAGCTGTACTTAATTGCCATGCATTTAAATCAGAGTTGTGTCTATAATCCATCCATGTTTTGTCTTATTCATTGCTTCCCGAAACCAAGGGTTCACGTGATTTCTGAATTGAGCTTGGAGCTTAGCTCTTGAGCCAAAATTCCAGGCAGGAAGTACGTGGCATATGGATACAATGCAGAAAATACAGCTGGAATTTAGGACTCTTCAGTTTACAACAGAATATTTAGAGTTTAAAACACTCCACGCTAATCAAAGAGAACCACAACGCAACAAATGTCCACCCCCCCCCCCCCCATCGCATGAGGCTACAACCAACATAAATTAACCCCAACATGCCCATCACTCGGATTCGCCGTTCATGATTAATGCTGGCATCAGGATTTACACATGCCACATTTACTCCACTGCATTTTGTTATTCCATGTAAAATTGTCCAAACGCAAAAATTATACCGTGAACCCACTCATGCATGCACGACTGGGAAATCGGAACCACGGTCAGTCGCAATGTCTCAGGGCAACATTTCTTTTGACACATGCCACATTTAAACAACGTCCATCTGGGAAGGAGTAGCAACACATTCTCTCGTTATTGCGATGTGCATATTTGCTCGAAGCTCGTGGCGGATGTGATCGTGGTAACATAGACAGCGAGACGTAATGCTCACTGACACGTGCGTGTGTGTGGTGATGGTGGTGGAGAGGAGAGCTGACGGGTTACCGATTTGGCTCCCTCCGAGGTGTCCCGGTCGCGTTCTTGGTTTTCATCCATGCTCACGGAACTCCTTGCTTGTTTGTAATAGTCAGCGAGACTATTACTAATACAGCCAACACCACCACCACTATGTCCTGTATCGCGCAGTCGAATGAGCATCCACGCGCGCAAATACTATATTATGTTTAAACAATGCAATTGTCAGCTTCTGCGCAGCAAATGCCAGACTCAAACTAAATAACACTTTTGTTTTCAGTTCACCCAATTGGCACTCTTCTATTTGCCTCGTTGTGCCATTGTTCCCGATTATCTTGCGATTTGGTTCGGTGAGGAGGTCGATGTGGTTTCGGTGCTGTTATTACAGAAACATATGCAGCTCACAGATTTCATCTGTAGCTCACAGATACATCTGTAGCTCACAGATACATCACAGATTTCATCTGTAGCTCACAGAAACATCTGTAGCACACAGAAACATCTGTAGCTCACGGAAAAATCTGCAGCTCACAGCTGCTGCCGGTTTAAAACCCAACGGTCAGGACTCAAAGCTCGCCCACCAGATGCCCTCTGATTTTATTTATTACCAATATTGCTTTTGCCAGAGGCGCCTATTATAGACGCCACAAGTAATCGGCATTACTCTCTTCGCGTTCTGGCAGCAGCAGCAGCAGACGACGACGACGATGATGATGATGTAGACCCCGTACACAGCAGGCTGGAGAAGAGCTGCAATACCGGCGTAGAGAAAGACAGAGACAGAGCAGCAAGCCAGCGATGTGTGCAGTCGAGCACTTAGTGGCAACAGAGGCTGTGGTGAGAGAGAGTGTGTGCATGTGTGTGTGTGTATAAATAGCTGCTTGTGTGAAATGTCCCCACTGTCACGGTGCTAATGGTTCAGTCCGAGCGGTGCTCGCCTTGTTCAGGAGGCTCTCGGTCAGAGATTTCGTGATGCTTTGTCGTTGATTTGCATACCAGGGAGAGAAAAAACATCAAGTTTAAATTTCTCAAGCTCAGCTGGGTTTGAGGCTTGATAGTCGTAGGATGGGAGGCTGCCTAGGAATATACCATGTGGTGTTGTTGTTGTAGGCTTGTCGAGATCTTGGACTGCGAGGTGGCCAGAGGGCGATACTAATATTGATTATTATTAAATCTATCCGTGCGGATATTTAAGTCCTCTTTAAATGTTCACCACATTGTATGTATGGGTTTGCTCGTGGTATACTGAGTTTTCCTTCCATATGAAGACAAACACTCATTAACAGAATTGGCCAAACAGCCTCACGCATTAGTGACCATTTTACTGGGGAATAAAGGGCGTTTTTACGTCTTTATTACTTTAGCAGCTTTATATAAATTACTTACTTGGAAGCTATTACCCTATACACTGCGTTTTCCACGTTTGCCAGAAATCGTGTTTACAATTACAATAAGTAATTTAGCTGCAAGACAAAAACCTAATTAGTCGAATAATAAAACTCAAATGAGTCAAGCAACGTATCACGTCTGAGTTGTTTGACCAATAATTGTTGGTATGGAGTAACACGCGGTATGAATAAAATAAAATACAGTATACAGTAGTTTAACCATTTGCATTAACAGAGGCTCAAACGTCTTTCTCAGGTGGCATTAAAAGTGCGTTATGTAACAGGTCCTTAAAAAAGATATCCATCCACACTATCACCGCCCTTCTGTAAGACATGGGGACCAATGGCTTCACGATATTCAATGCCACTGTGGGAAGAAAGTCAGAGATGCTCATTATAAATCAATGGGGGTGGCAGAGTTGCATAAATTCGCACCCTCATTCATAAGCGCTGCATATGAATGATCTCGCTTGCTCAATGGCTTCGTTTCATTTCGAGATGCTCACCGTGCACAGTGATTCCTCGCTTCCCTGACGATGTTCATCACCGACTGCCACCGACAGTCCCAAGGGGGCCCCGCGGTTGTTCATAAGGGGGCCCATACAGCTGGCATCTGCCTAAAATCCAAACAATTCCCCAGTGCCGTCCATCGCAGAATCACTTCATTAATATGTATCAACTGCGAGCTTGTATCATGTACAATGTGCGTGTGGTCACTCGGCTGTAGGACGTATGCACATTTATAAAGGAAACCACTGAAAAGGATTAAAGTTAATTTAGTTTACAACGTTAACAGCACTGAAGTAGACTTAATTTCACGAAACTGGGACGGCACGTACAACGCAGGCCGAATGTACAACGCTGAGAAATTTAATTACGCAATTAATCAAAGTAGATTTTTGGTTGGGTTAGATCGCGTAATTAAAATGTGTTGTCGTCAACCCTCCACCACCCGACCACCACCAGCATTGTGAGGACCTCCTGCGCTCCTGGGCCTTATATAGGGTTAGGGTGATGTCATCAACCTGCGTACACCAGGGAAGCACGGAGTGGCTGGAAGAGACACGGATACATGAATATATTTGCATAATTTACGCGTATTTGCATTGATTATGCTAATACGCATCGAATTAAATTATGTTACTGTTGCTTACGCTGAATTATGCTAAGCATGGTATTGGGTTGGTCCTCCCCCACCAAATCACGAACCCACGCTGACCAGCACGGTGAAATATGATCAAACTAAATTATTTTATTTCTATTATAATTTGTATCATTTTAGATTTTTTATTTATTTATTTTTATTTTTACCTACGTGACTTTACCGAAAAAACCTAAGAGTAAGATCAAACAGCACCCATTACTCATATTGAACGGGCAGACCTTCAGTCAGCAGCGTAGCGACAAAGGGTTGTAAGTCCCTAATGTTTCATGAGTGGAGTTCAAAATAACTCAAAAACACGTTGTGAAAAACCCAACGCAGAATATCCCTGGGTTTGATCTTCCACGAAACTTATGGGCCACCTTAAACCGCATCTGTACAAACCGTGGCAGATGCAGACATCTGATGTACACGTGGAAAATTTAAAATTCTCCAATATTCGACTGTAGTCACCCCCAACAGACCATAAAACATTACGATGCAATTCCGGATCCACAAATAGGAAGTAGATATTGCAGCGATACACTCCGCTGCTCCTAACGCAGTTATCTGGCTTGACCACCTCAATGTGAATTGTAGTTGTTGCTCTGTATACATTGTTTTTGCTCTGTATGCATTGTCGATGCTTCCGATGCATACGCATGGCAATCATTGCACTGAGCAATAGAAAGTGGAACAACACAGATCAAGTAGCAAACACAAACTAGAGACATTATTAAGGCATTTAGGTGGGAATTGGCAGGGTACAGTATACTCTTATTTCTTTCGGTAATTAAAATTAATAAATAAAATAATAAACTCACGACGTTTCGGAGGCAACACAAGTCTCCGTCATCAGGTGGGACTGTCACAGCCAGATTTGCTGCATCAAGTGAGTCAGGGATTCAAGATGCCTCCGAAACGTCGTGAGTTTATTATTATTTTTTTTATTAATTTTAATTTCATTTTTTTACCTACGTGACTTTACCGAAAGAACTAAGAGTATGAATCCTTGCAGTCACGAAAGCTTCAAATCTAGGGTACAGTATGTAACTATAAGGAGCATGCCCGAGAGGACGACCATCAATTAGATGGTTTAATTAGATCCTTAGATGTATTGTGGTATCACATGATCGTGAGGAATGGCAAACACATAGAGATGCATTCATGCAGCAGTGGATCATTCCTGATGAGGATGAATGTGTTCACTGCAGATATGTTTTTATTTCTCTCCCCATCTTGAGATCACGTTCACGCGTGGGACAGGAAATGGAGGGTTGGGGAGGGTGGTTCTGTCTCAGCTCACTGCTTTGTCCGACTCGGATGAATGGATAGGATTCATTTCCTATTCGTTTTCCACACAAAACGAATTAACGTGGATCTAATCTGCACGAGTGGGTGGGGAATGCGCGCACACATACACAGTAACCCCTTAACACGCGCACACAAAGCATGGATACGTGTGCAACGTGAATATAAATGTTTTATTTTACCATGCCACAAATGCTAGCTCAACGAAGTGGATTTTCAGGTGGACATTTACAGCAGCCGAATACCCCAAACGAATGTTGTCTGTAAATGTGGAGGGAAATACAGGAGGGCCCGGAGAAAAATCCACGCGACCACGAGGAGAGAGACATGCAAACTCCAAATACCGGGTGCTTAAAAAAATGTGTTAACGCTTTTGAGAATTTGCAACAATACCACAAGAAATGCACCTCCGGGCTCTGGAGACCACCTGGAGAAGATTCCAGGCATGTGTTGACAATGATGGCGAACAAGTGGTCACTTTTTGAAGATATTAACATATATTTATTATCATGTTACAGAGTATCATCCGTTCTTTTTTCCATTAAAAACAATAGTCTCATATAAGTTTTAACATTTTTTTTGCAGCACCCTGTATACAGCAGAAGGCATTAAGGGTCGGGATCGAACCCACGATCTCCTCTGCACAACAGGGAGGCAGTTCACATCTCGCCACCGTGGCACCCCAAGTTTTATGAACACTGGCTGACACATAGAGATGTCACATTTCGCCTGGGTCTATTTCCTCCCGAGAATATCATATATGAAGTATGTACTAAAATAATGTTTTTTAACTATAATGTATTTACTGTGTATCTACAAGTGTACTTGGAACTGTAGAGGCGATGTATCAATAAGAAAGCAATATCATTAGACCTCCTTTACCAGTACCAAAATATAATAACAGGGTTTTCCCCCTTTTTTCTGGTAACAAAACTGAAACCTTTTTACAAGGATTCATGTCTGCATTAACCACAATACTTGCAGTCAAAATGCAAAAAAACACACGATGATAATATATGCATTACCCAATCAGTTTCAAGGACAATGCATATATTATCATAGTGTGCTTTTTGTTTGCATTTTGACTGCAAGTATTGTGGTTAATGCAGACATGAATCCTTCGAAAAAGGTTTCAGTTTTGTTGCCAGAAAAGGGGGAAACCCTGTAATTATTATTAAGAAAGCAATACACTAAGCGTAATCACTTATAGGCCTACCCCACGTATACCCTTTCATATGAATGTATATTCATATTGGTCAAAACAATTGTCGCCTTAAAATGAAAACAATATATAATAGGAGACGTTTTGGGCAATGGCCTTTCTTCATAGCATATACTGTATTCAATTTTAAGACACTGTTATGGACGAATGTGGATGCTTTTATAATTCGTGCGTATGCACCACTCCCACCAACACAGAATCACCAAATGTTGTCCAAACCATATTGGGCGACTTCAGCTTTATACTACTGCGTCTTCATCATAATCTGATTCATATACTGTACAGTACAGAATACTTTATAATCGAAAACATTAGAACATCTGCAATGGTAAATTCTCCGTGTGTGGAGTATGGTAGCCTATCTATAAATAGTGATCCATTTTTAGAAACCAGGCTGCTTAAATAATATGGAGACATCACGCAATCACTTTCGTGATTGACAGCTGTTCTGCACGGAAATGTGTACACAAAACGCACCTTTTGGACTTGTTTTTTTTTACTGAGGTTTAACATTAAAAACAATTTTCAATAGCATAAATTCAAATTCACCCTCGAATCAACGATAAGTGTGCGCCTTTGTATGGGGAGCGATTTCGCAGTGGTTAGCGCTACGCTGCGCTACGAACGATTGTCTGAACCGGCCCTGGGCCAGCCCTAGGTCGACTCAGCCTCAAATGAGTACCTGGTGCGGTGTGTAAACATCGCCACGGGGGAGACAAAGGCGGCCGGGCGTGCCGGCCTTCATAGGTGCCACTCGCTAACAACAATTGCCCCAACAGTCTGCTACAGCATTGGAACCTCATTTGCTTTTTTATCTGGCAACAAAACTAACACCTACCCCGAGCTCTCATACTCTGATGGTGAATTGTCTTTGAGTTTTGCGCCTTTTGGCGTCATCTGGTCCAACACCATGTGAGACTAGGCTCTAAGGAAAGCTGTCTCGGGTGTGGACCAATCAACTTCAAGGACAGTGCATATATTATCAGAGTTGTGTTTGTTTTTTGCATTATGACTGCAGGTATTGTGGTCTATGCAAACATGACTCCTCGTAAAAATGGTGTCAGTTTTGTTGCCAGATAAAAGGGTAAAAAAACTATTATCAGTATGTTACACGCTACACGGGGGGATCTTTCATGTGTGCACGTAGCCCACATGCCCAGCCACCTATGCCCAAGCAGCTTCTGTTTGGCCGGCTAGAAGGGGCTCAATAGAGAAGAGATGGGCTGATTCTAGATTTGAAGTTTTCGTGACTGCAAGGATTCATACTCTTTGGTTTTTTCGGTAAAGTCACGTAGGTAATTTTTTTTTAAATAAATTAAATCACGACGTTTCGGGCGCAACACAAGCGTCCTTCTTCAGGTCGGGACAACTTAGCGAAAGTGTGTCGATACACTTAAGCGGTGTGCTTTCAATTTCGATTTAAAGCTTTCGTGACTGCAGGGATTTATCTTCTTGGTTCTTTCGGTAAAGTCACGTAGAAGGGAAATAATAAAATAATAAAAAGAAAACATTATCATTTTATTATGTTTTATTTTTATTATAATAAAATAATGAAAATAAAACAGAATAATAAAATAATAAAAATAAAACATTATAATTCTATTATTATTCTATTATAATTTTAG